GGGGAGAGGGGGGGGCTCTGCACGGATTTCTCTGTGATCCCTCTCTCTCTCTCCCTGCGACAAGAACCGCAGAGTAGGTTTCCAAGCTATGTATGCGCTGTCCTGTGGCCAAAGTTTCCTCCGAGTCAGATCTAGACCGTCGAATCTACAAATTTGGGCAGCAAAGCACGGTCCATTTGGGTTAGAGAAACATGATCATCAACTTGAACTTGAACTTGAGCATGATAGCGAGCCAGCCAGCCAGCCACCATTGACCGACCGGTAGCGAACTTTGACAGCACCTTACAAATATTCCCGACGGTTATTCTCCGCGAACGTGAGTGCGTGTAAGGAAGTACGTAAGTACGCACGCATGGAGGTGTGCATGTGTGAGTGAGTGAGTGACAAGCCACGAAGCAGCAGGCAAGGTAAGGCAAGGCAAGGGGCGTAAAAAGGGGCAAGTCAGAGACAAGCAGAAATAATTAAATCACCATCCTACTGGTGTACAGTATGTACTGACAATGCAGGCCATATGTACGGAGTACGGATTGCTTCGTATACTCGTAGGAAAGAGAGGGCATACGTATCTTACCAAATCGGAATCTCTCAACACAGGCCCCGCCTGTGGGGGCCGATCGACAGCCGACATGACTAGATATCCTCCTGCCTTGTCCGTTAAGAAACTGCGAGACACAAGAGAAATCACAATCGGAATTTCACGACCGCAGGATCGGACGGACGTCGATCCAGGCCTGCACCGTCCCCCCCCTATTCCACCTTCCCTATCCTATGGGTCACATGGTACGGGAACTCCCCTGCATCGACTCCGTAGCGTTGTACGGGTTGTGATTCGTCATGTTGTAGTAGTGTAGCGCCTCGCGTCTGGCCCTTGGAGCACGGGAACGGGGGGACGGGGCAAGGGTACGGGTACGGGCAGGGAGGGCGGTCCGATCCTTTCACCATGTGGAAGAGTTGTGGGGGTGAGGGCTCGGTGGTTCGGTTAGGTTGGGTTATGGCTGCTGTACTCCGTACATGTTTGTACAAGGGAAGGGAGAGACGGATAGCGCACTGGAGAAACCTGAAAATGAGTTTGTTGGCGCCTGGGCTTGCTTGGCTAGCGAGGGTCCTAGGCCACCGGTTGCTGCGTCTGCCGGCGAATTTGCTCTCTATTAAGAATGACGTACGAGTACTTGCTGCTGGGCGTTTGAACATGGAGGAGTCTATCCTATCGCGGTGTTTCTTCCCATTCACCCGGGCACGTTTTCTTTCTTTTTCTGGCCCCCAGGACGCCGTATTTTCTTATTCTTCTTCGTCCTCGGGTGAAGATTACCATTTCTGAACAAAGCATATCCAATGGGCTTCCCGCCCTGTGATAACCCCCGCGAACTATCGACGCAAGATAAGCTTTAGTGTGAAGGTGACAGTGAGAGAGAGACAAGAGGAGGGGCTGAGATCGATTCATTCACCCTCCGACCCCAGCAAGGAACATGACTCGGCCTGAACATTGTGATTGGTGCGAGGCACGATGAAAAAAGGATCGCCTCGTTTCCGGAGTACCTCCGCTCCCTGGCCCCAGACGTATGTGTACGGTTTAACTACTGTACAGCGAATTAAATCATCTCTGATCGACGAGGATCTACAGAACCCGGGTGAGTGGCGTATGTACTCCATATGTACATGGATGTGCCGTTCGACGGAGCAAACAATCTTGCCCTTGCCGAGAAACTTTGACTAAAAATTATACAGACTCTAGAAACAAGGCAGGTTTGCGTGGCTTTTAATGACGCCCCAAACCCAGTTGCCTCCGACTCACCCAGCCGAACCGAACTCAACCCAACCCCAGAGCCCTTTCGTAACGTGTACCCGCAACACGCGAAGGGGTAAGAGACATGCCTGGCGATTGGCCCGGAATTCCAGAGGCGTCGTACAGCCGTCACACGATCCTAGGCAATAGTTTTCGGTACACGAGATACAATCCTAGTAGTCTCGGCCGGATTTACCCCAAATACTAGTTCACAATGATAGCCATAATTGAGAACAAATCGAGTAGACCGATGGTCCCAGAGAGAGAACACTCGGTTCTCCCTGCCGGTGTAATAGATACTCCCTCCCGTTTAGCTCGAAGCATGCATGCAGATAGCACTTGTCAATCTTGCATCAAACCGGGGTGGAGAGAAGAGCTCGGCATATGTCCTGGAAGCAACCACAGCTTCCAAGGTTACTGTATGGAGTAGCTCGCATACAGGACCTCCCACATATCATACTTGCATATGTACATCAAGCACGCTATCGCTGTCGCTGCTGTCACTCTTGATTCCGCAGATGCACCGGCAGATCACACTTCCAATAGCCCAAGTGGGAGAAAGAAAGAGGGGCAGATCTGCACAAGACCGCAAAACTAGTGGCTCGCTCGATCCTCTAATATGTAGTTCGTGGTGTGCGCCCTATCACCGTATCTAGATTATATTAACTTATCTCCCGCGGTATATACCTATCACATTTGTGATCTTCATCGCCTCCAGACGCGGGATCGGGAACCAGATTTGCATAAGCGCGCATGCAATTTTACCTCATCCAGGCACCTCTCGCCCTCCAGGCCTTCCCCTCTCTCCTCCCCTCACGTCACTTAAACTTCACTTCACATCGCCTCCCTGTCTGTACATGTACGGTAATCTTGCGCCTTTTTTCCCCTTACGGTGCTGCATAAATCCATGGACACTGCGTCCTCTGCCAGTAATTTCAATACCTTGAACTGCCCACTTCGAAGAAGATCGGCGCCCCTGTGAGGGGTCAACTAGTCATTTCGATCTGTCACCTCTCGGTATTGCTTCACCGCATAATAAGTCTCCTTACGAAGTAGACAGGCGCGTGCTTCGGCAATTGTCGGAAATAAACTACCTACACGAGCTTTTCGGAGGTATATGTCAATTTCCGATCGAAAACGAAAAAAGGAAGGTGGGACTAGATAGTCAGGAAATAAAATAAATAAACATGGTATCCATATGGATATCTAAGCTCCTACCCGCACCCCATCGAGCACACTATTGCCCAGGTTTTTGGCCATGCGGAGGTATTTTCCGCAGGCTCTGTATCCTATGTACACCAGTGGACGCGCCCTAAAATGCATCGGATACGACAGTCCCTCGCCCTGCTGCTATCCGAAGAATTAAATTCTGACAACCCGTGTGGCATGTGGGGAGCTTCCTCCACTATTAAAGTATAATTTTTGTTTCCTTTGTTCGGGGCGCGTAATCTGGTAAACGGATTCCTTGGCAAGATAGTAGTATATCCGCCATATTCTTCTAGTATGATTACTATACGGAGTACCCTACTTCCCTTTTGGGACCTGCCCCAGCGGGCGCCTGTCTCCATAAAACTAATCGCTATTCTGGAAATCTTCGTGTCGATGATCAGCCACAAGTGCCTCATTTTTCAGTAACGTCCTCCACTTTACGGAGTACGCAGTAGGGGGATCTGTTCCATAGGGATGAATCAATTGCCTGATTTATCCATCCCCGGAAGGAAATCTTGAGACCTACGCCGATCTGCCCTATGAAAAATTTACCTCGCTGACCCCGAGATCCGGCGGTGTCCTTGGCTTCTCGATCGTGTCCACTTTCTGAGGCGGTGCGGATCCACTAGGAGAGCTTTTCTTCTTGCTTTTTTTTCCTCTCACCTACGAGTGGGCACCCGAGACAGTGTGGAGAGATTGACGTATTCTAGGATTTCTTGTTTATGATCTCAAGGACTTTGCGGTTACACTGCATCGTGAATTTCCTTTCTTGTTTGCCCTGGTTTTTTTTTTTCTTTTTCTTTTTCCCCTTCTCGGTGGAGCTTTTTTGTTGGGGGAAAGCGATCTCGGAATCCCCGGGCTCTGGATTTGGGATTTGACCAAGTGAACCCGACACAATGGAACACACCGCGGAAATATCTTTTACGAGTAATGAGAATTTTTCTTTTCGGTGGGGTAGATGTGATGGGATCGGATCGGATAGACAAACGGCACCCAAAGAATTCCAATACGCCGTACACCGTCAGTGTGTGTGATTGCGAAGTCTTTCTTGGTATTGGATCGGTGCTTCCTTGCTTTTTGGCCTGCTTTGACTTCTCTAGCTTGACGATCAAGTGTCAATTCTGCAGGTTACACAGGATAGAATTCATGCAGGGTCTGATCGCTCATCGCTAAGTTCGTTTGTAGGATCGTCGAAGGAGATTCGACTTGCCATTAAATCTAAATGCAGTACATTATGGGGTCATTTTTAGCATCATTAAGTCCGCGACATACCCCGTGACGACAATATTATCTATCAGCCTGAATATTGCTATTGCAAGCATTGTATCAATTAAGGTGCTCCTTGTCCTAGCAGCATATTTCACGCCCTGAGTGAATGCCCCGTCAGATATGCAGTATATGGATCCAGTTTGGGAAATATCTCCGAATACAGTTCGACTCCAGTCAAGGCGCAAAAGAGTGATCAAGAATGTTCAAAGCGTCCATTGTAACTCGTATTTCGAAAGGTTTTATTTGCTGATGTATAGTTTAGGATGCTGTCGTGCGATTTGTATGCCTTGCCAGGACTTCTTCGATATTACGAGGATATAATATTGTGCAACCCCCCCAAGGAGCATACTAGGTATACAGCAGCAAAATCAGAGTGAGTTGACATCATATGTATTATGACTAGTCTCGGTTGACAAGATACTAGAAAGGATATCATTATTAGAACACGATTTTATGTGATTTTGATACCCACCAAATCTAACGTGCGCATCTAGTCACAGGCCGGGGGATCAGACAATCGCTTAGAGCTTAGTTCTGGGTCCAATGGAGTGTAACAAGATCACGAGAATATGACATACTCTACCAGCCTTTTCCAAGGCAACTGCTGACGGATTGCAACTGGATATACTTGATTGATGATGATTTGAGGTGTGACACTAGAAAGACGAAACTGTTTACTACCTTGCCCTTCTTACAGGAACTAAGACATCAACAACCATGAAACAAGCTTGTCACCAAAATGAAACAGATGGTCATACAAGACGACCAGAAATATCTCATCAAACAAGGCACAGACACCAACACCAACACCCCTTCCCTCGACACAGCTTCCATCCTCAAACCGATACAGTCAATCACCACAAACGCACAAGTTTCACAAAAGGCCTCGTGCCCGGATGCACGCGCAGATGCGATATCAAACACCCGACGAATCGAGCCTCCCTTCGTCGTCGTGCAACAGGCAAAAGAACCGGAACCGAACCGGTCGCACGGAGTTTAGTCGAGCCGAGTCGAGTGATAAATAGTTCTGATGATTTAACTATAGACCAAAGAAGGCATAGAGCCGCGTGCCGTGAACAAATCAATCGAAAGCATACCTGGCCAGTGTGCCTTGATATTAGTATATCTACATGGGTACCTGGAGGGCCTGTAGAAACCAGAAAAACAGTATGTACCAATATTGGAATCCCAAGCCACCAAGTCAGTCCATAACAAGGATCTCCAAGCGAAATATTATCTAAACCCGCGATATCCCAGCCTTATTCCGAATCCCACACTCCACGGACGAATTGGAAAGTCTCACAGAAGCCCGATTTAGTCAAATCTGACTTAACCCGGCCATTGTACCGGTACTCACGGTACTTCTGTCATAGTATTTAGCAGGCATCCCCCGGATAATCCAATCTAATCCTTGGAATGTATTTCCAGCACTTCACTTCACTTCACCTCTCCCGCTGTATGTAATCAGTTTCTGATGTGAGCACCAAGCAACCCCAGACCCGTAACAGGAATAGTATAGCCAAAGAAAACCAAAACAGAACTTAGCCCCCGGTGTCACCGATAGACATCCCGTCAGAAAGATCAGAGGGCACGCCACGCCGCGCCACATGCGGGCGTGCCTTCTATCTCACCTGCATATCCTCGCTCGGCGACAGACCTTATTGGAGTTCTCCGGTGGTGAGAACAGGAACATAGTGAAAAGGGGAAGAATATGTCCGTTTGTGGATGGTGTATTTCCTCCCCCTCTTTCGTGTCTGGGGATGTTGCACTACATTAGCGTGCCCAGGTTGTCGATGGCGAGACTTGCTTTGTTCCAAGCCATGGGGTCTTCCAAGGTTGGTTAAGGTGTCTATGGAAATGAGAATTAGATTAAATACTGGGCATGGGAGACCTTTACTTTATACACTGTTGCAAGTATAGGTGATTTGACCAGCCATGCATCATTCTAAATCAGCTTCAAGGTGGTAAAGACGGTCTTAGGTTGCCATCTAAAGCTCTGGGTATTGTTTGAGATTTTGAAAGAGCATGGGTACTATGAATTAATTACAAATTATCACTTCTTTGCGAATCATCAGTCCACACTCTATGGATATAGACAAACTTCCAACCTCGAAGGCTGTCACTACATTGAGTTGCGAAAGCCGACTGCCGAGGCAGATATAACTCTTTATGTGGAAAGAATGTGGCATGCAGTTCCAAGAGCACTGATAAATAGTAGAATGCCTGGTAACCAAGCCCGACGAGCGTGGAAAGTAATGAGAGAAAGTACCAATGTAATTGGGTATCGGAGAAAAGCTAAAAGTATGCAAAAAAAAAGCCCAACCCATCAAAGAACAGACGAGTGAAGTGGAAAAGACAGCCCTAATCCAGACCCTACAATATACTCTCAAACGATAGCAGTCTGGTTGTAGTAAAAGTCACAAGCATGCGGGTGCTGGAGACAATACTTCGGCACAAGCGCAGTAGCCATAACGCCGTTCGCAACGAGGTACTCCCGGAAATTCAGCAGACGCTGCGTGAGCTCAGTCGTGCGCTTCTCACCCGCCGCATTTCGGTTTCCAGACCAAACAAGCTCACCGAGTGCCGAGGCGCGCGGCCAGAAAGAGCTCGAGATGGTTACGTCGTCGACCTGTTCGGACCAGAGGGGGGGCTTCGGCGCCGAGGACGTGCTTTGCTTGGGCGTCGGTGAGGTTGGCCGTGAAGTCGTAGTCGTAGATACGTTGCCAGGTCTTGTAAGGGGCGCACCAGGAGCCGCCGGGTCCTTGGTAGTTGAAGTTCGGGGTGTTGGCGTCTGGGTTCGACATCACGTCGTAGCGGGGGTCGTTCGTGACGAAGCCGCCCTTGCCGCAGTCGAGATATAGGAAGTCGGACGAAGAGACGACGACGTCGTAGCCGTGGGCTGTGAGGTTGTCGATGTTGCCTAGGCCGTTGTTCCAGCTCTGTAAGACGATGTCCTTGGGGACGTCGTGGGCGGCTTCGGCCGAGAGGAAGATATCTTCCCACATCATGATGCGGCGGTGTTTGCCTGCATCGCGGAAGATTGGGATGGCCTTGTCAACCCAGTACTGGGCCAGGTCGTTGTATGTACGTGACGGGTCTTCGGCGAACCACTCTGTGACGTGTGTGCTGAAGTTGTAACAGCCGGGCTGAAGCTCGTCCGCGCCAACGTGGAACCAGTTGTCGGTAAAGATGCCGGACAGCTCGTTGTACACATTGCGCACAACATCGTAGGTCTTATTGTAGATGATATCCAGTTGACCCGGGTTTGGCTCAACGGCCGTGTGAAGCGGCCAGTTGTCGTTCGACCACCATGAGTTAGCGCAGGCCACGATCTCCGGGTCCACCTGCTTCCAGCCAGATGAGGAGTGACCGGGCATATCGACTTCGGGTATGACACGGACCGCACGGGCGCGGGCATAGGCAATAACGTGCCGGATATCGGCTGCAGTGTAGACTTCGCGAGGCGAGTAGGCGTCCTTCACCATCTCGGGATAGGTATGCATTTGAATTGGCCATGACTGGGCGTCATCGATGTGCCAGTGCAGCACGTTGAGCTTGGACAGGGCCATGCCATCGATCTGCTCCAAGATCTTGGGGAGGGAGATGAAGTTGCGACCACTGTCTAACATGATACCACGGTACGGGTAGAGTGGTGCATCCGTGATCTTCACCGGCTGCTCTAGGATCAAACCGCCGTGGCCGTCGGAGATGATCAACTGTTGCAAGGTCGTGAACGCGTGCATCGCGCCCCAGACAGTCTTGGCCTTGATATTAACACGACCAGATGTCTTTGTCACTTCCAATGTGTATGACTCGTCGACGCCATGCTGCAGATCAGCATCGCCGTGGGCGACCGAGAGGTGTACCGAGTGAATTGCGGAGGAGGCATCGCGTTTCGCGTTCGGCGACGGGGTCGGAAAGGGGTCGAAGTGAGGAATGGGTGCCTCTGTCGCGGCAGGGACCCAATGGAGAGTAGTGATGGCGGACCAGGCGCGCTCCCAGGCACTGTTGAGGTCATCGTGGGAGACAACATTGCTCGAGCTGTGCAGGGAGAGTTGTTTCACGGCAATGGGTCCACTGGATCCCCAAGTGATGTTGCGGGGAGCGGGAAGTGGATTCACCTTGACGGCAGTGGCCGCGGTGAGAAGACCGAGCACGCCGAATAGGGAGAACTTCATGGCGATGAGGGTGACGAGAGTGACGAGGGCGAAGACGGACACGAGAAGCCAGCAGGAGGTTCTCGACAGGGAACTTGAATATTTATGGGGGCAGTGAACATGCCGATCACCGATCGGCATGTAGGCTGAGTGGAATCTCTCGATAAACAAATCCCTGGATGTTTCAGGGTGGCAGTCCGTTTGTCAGGTTACATCCGACTAATCAGACCCAATCGTCAGGTGCGACCTGCCACTTCCACCTCCACATGCGACATCGGCTGGCCTTGGGCATGTTAGAAGTGGCAGTGGAGGGAAATTGGAGGGAAAGAAGCGGGTGGTTGAGGGGAGGAGTGGAAGTGCCGCGGGAGGTGGAGGTGGGAGGTGGGAGCTGTAGATAGCGTAGTAGGGGAAAGGGAATACCACAGTGACATCTCGCTTCTCCCCTCAACTTCGCATTCGCATTCACATCCTCCATACTAGTATATCAAGAGCCCCGTGCCCCCATAGTGGCTTGTTTTCAAGCTACAGTACCTCTAGGAATTGCGGGGTCAAGGTTAAGGTCAAGGCCAAGGTATCATGATTCGTTCTAGCGACTGCTAATCACTATAGGCTAGTACTATTATCTCCCGTGATGTCTAGACTGACTTCTCCAGACTCCGCTCCAACTCGATACCCTCACGGAATTCCTCCTGAATGGCCGCGGCGGCCGTTGCAGAGGGCTCCACGCAGGGACGTCGAGGTAGACCACCGTATCCGTGATATGACTGCAGCCCACTCTTGACCGCAACAAATCCACCATGAATGGCAGCCCAGTCCGCTCGGGCAACAATCGCTTGCAGCTTTTGTGCCTCCTCAACCTTGCCCGCGCGATACAGCTCCATCACCCGCACGCATGATCGTGGAATAATATTGGCAGTGCCACCAATGATACCCGCACCACCAGCAACAAGAGTCTGCAGCGTGAAGTCGGCGGAACCACCAAAGGTCAAGAAATCGGACTTTGCGCCCGCGGCGATCCGCGCCAGCTTGCCCGTGTTACCGCAGGTGAGTTTGCAACCAATAATGTTGGGGTGCTTGGCCAAGGCCAGGATATCGTCTGAGGAGAGATCCAATCCGGACGAGGCGCCGGGGAAGTTATAGATGAGGACGGGGATGGGGGAGGCATCGGCCACAGCGCGGAAGTGGGCGTGCATCGACTCGGTGTTGACCAGCGCCTTGTAGTAACTGGGCGGTAGCACCAGGACCGCGTCGGCACCTGCTGCTCCTGAATCCTTGCACAGTTGGATAGTCTCGCGTGTGGAGGCAGCTCCGCAGCCCGCGATCACTGGCATTGTGGTGTAGCCAGCGGCATCGACGGCGCGGCGAGTCGCGGCAGTGATGGCGTTGCGCTCGGCGCGATCCAGGTGGACGGCTTCACCATTGCTGCCTTGGGTAACCAGACCGGTGACACCGCTGCGGGCCAGATAGACGGCGTGCTTCTCGACTGTCGCCAGGTCGACCTCTTCGTCGGCCTCGAAGAATGCTACGGTAGGCACGTAGAAACCGTGGGGGAGGGGATTCCGCTTGATAGTACCGTTGGCCGTCATGATGAATGGAATTCTGCAGTCGAGTCAGCAATTCGGGATATTTCCATTGTACACAACAGGGGGTCGATGCGATGCGCCTTACCGGGAATGATGAGGTGGGGGAAATGGATCAGAAACAGAAACAGAAACATGGGGTCGTCCGGTTAGCTAAATAACCTCAGTTGGATTGCTCAACCCCCACGTCCCCCACCAGCGCCAATCTAATTAGCCGTTCATGTTCCGCCTGAAGGTCATCCAAACAGTCATTCGCGCCGGGCGCGTGGGGAGAGAGTGGAGAGCTGGACGAGTCGCTGTTCTCCCCTCATCCATCCTGATTCCTGATCGCCTTTCCCCCACGTTTCATGCGGGGTTGGTTCGGTGTTTCCTCCTGGTTGCATGCTGGCCGATTCAGGCCAAGCTGTTCATCGCTGTTCTTCGGAAGGAAGTCCGTGTCAAGTCCTGGTAAATCTTAGTCTTATAAATGAATCTGGGATGCCCAGGTGCGCCAGTTTAAGCCACTGGGTGCATGACTGCGGTGGCAAGTTGAAGTGGATGTCTCACGAATGGAGTCACCCCACGTTGAGGTGTGGGGGTCGGATAATGCAAATGCCATTTCGGTTGTTGGAGCACTGGAAGTGGATCAGGGTGGATGTGATCCATGGAGGACTCGAGTATCCTACTAGTTAAGGATATATCTATATCTTTTGAGGATATAGGGGGGGGTTGTACTCAGGATTTACAGTTTACTAAACAGCTTTGAGGAGGTTCAACATGAAGTTATCTCAACTCTTGAAGCCTCCGTTTAGTTCTCCCTTACTGAAGCTTAATCATGATGGTTCATGGAATTGATTGTTCTCTCGCTATCTTCCAAACTTGGCGCTATCCTTTCTCCGGAGCCCATTAATGGCGAGAACGCTCATATACTGACCTTGACTGATTTACTACTTCTCGGTTGTACCACCCTCGCTATACTTCTCCTTCAGAACTTTGATAACAAGCAACGCAAGCCCTCCCACATCCCTGGCCTTGGTAATCTGCAAAGTGGGGACATCAACACCAATCTTTTTCCGTAACCAATTTCGAATCTCGTTCGTCATCAGGGAGTCAATGATAATCTCCGCAGCTGCTTGAAGTGATTCGTCGTGGTCTTCTTCTGCGTGTATCAAGCGAGCAATCTCTTCAATGAGCAGGTCCAACGATGATTGGAGATCCAAGATAGAAGGCTCTCGCTCTACCTTAGACAGAAATTGATTCATCCGACGCAGATCAGAAGCCCCATGCCGATCGGATTCCATCCCGGAACGATCGTAAAGGGCAAATCGACGGTCGCTCTGATAGGTAGTTACTCGAACACTTCTAGTCATGGGCTGTAATCCAATGGAGAGTGAGCCCATGTTCTGCTGCTCGTCAAACGTTCGAACAAGTCGCGCCTGTCTGATTGCAACATCCAGGCTTTGGATAAGGTCCCTTTCCCTCAATGGTTGAAGAAGAAGATCACATAATCTTCTCTGAAGCTCTGGACTTTCACTCACAAACCCAATGTCTCCCATCGCTCCGAGTTGAATCACAGCGGCTGGGTAGCCGGTCGCTCGTGCGTATGAAGTAAATGACTCGAGAAAGGAATTTGCCGCGGCATAATTACTCTGTCCGGGGTTTCCACAAGCAGAGACAATAGAGCCAAACATCGCACAGAAATCCAACTTATTTTCGCGAGTGGCTTGATACAGATTCCATGTCCCGGTGACTTTGGGGGGCGAGAGAATCATGCCATGCTTCGTGGGTCATAGTTGCGAATGTGTGGTCCTAGAGCTTATTATCAGCCTCGAATATTATGCAATTTATCACCTTATTATCCTTACCTTCAGAGAGATGGCCAATTGGATGATGCCAGCAAGTGGCTTTGGGCAGAGGTCGATGGCTTTCTGTATATCCTCGGCGCTCACAACACTCTCAGTCACAGTATGTATGGTACATCCCATGATTTGGAGCTCTTCAATGAAAGACTTACGTATTGGAGTCAGTTCTGTTGATCGTGACAGGAAGACTAGGCTTTTTGCGCCCTGCTTAACCATCCATCTAGATATAGCCCGGCCCAGGCCTCCAAGGCCGCCGACAATGAGGTACGACACATCCGGCGAAAGCGACAGAGGGGACTCATATTTAGAGACGGCGAGTTGAGAGGGGTTGTCGGGAATTTTGATAATGATCTTTTCCATGTGTTGAGCGGTTTGCATATGCCTGAACGCAGCTTGCGCATCAGCTCAAAAATTGCCCTGGGATGAATTGGTTGAACTTTCTTATCTTGGAGGTAGGACATAACCTGCTTCAAGGTTCTAAGGTAGAAGACTATGTTAGAAGCGCGTTCCAGTTTATCGCAATCAAGACATTTGGGACATTAAACGCACCGTGTGAGCTCCAGGGGTCTGTAGATGCCCAGTGTACTGAGGTCGACACCAAAGAATGAACGATTGGCTTGAAAAGCACTCATGCGAAGCATCCCATGACCCATCATGTCTCGTTTCCCAATATCTATCATTTTTCCCAAATTCCGCAACGGTTTCCCATGAAGCGTGGAGAAGTTTCCCGGAGAGAGAGTTCAAGACGATATCCACCCCTTTCCCGCCAGTTCTCCTTAGAATGCTTTCTTTGAAACCGGAGTCTCCAGAGTTAAATATATTCTCTCGGGGAATGTTGTGAAGGATGCATTCAAGCTGGCATTTCAAGTTATGTTATACTATCAGCCCTAGAACCTTGGAAGTAGCAAGTTCAAGCTTGGAATGGACCAATGGAGTTTGAAAATTTATATAATATACTCGTATATTCAAGTTCCTATTAGTATCGTACTACTAGCAGTAACTGGCGGACAGCCTGAGGTATTCTAGCTAGTGGTTAGTACTACCCACTGACAGTAGGTAACGTGAATATGAAAAGGATGTGCAAATATTAACATAGAATACTGCCAGTAGTTATAAACACAACTTGAAACATTCAATGAATAGATCTAGATGTGTTGATTGCGTAGAGTATACTGAGTGGTAGTAACTATACTCATACTCATACTATACTGCTATACTCACCTCCCTCCCCGACCCGCCAAGAACCTCCTCGCAACATCTTCTCCTCTTCTCCCCGCGCCGACCACCACCCTGCGACTGACTCGGCTCCAATCCAAAGCTGCCTACAACAGCAGGCGTCCACACTATGCCTTTGGGCTAATCCGCCTTCCCCTCCCTTCGTCGAGCAATGGCCCTTCTGTCGTGCTCTCTTCGCGGTACTGTGCGACGGACTCCCGACGACCACTCCGATGACAACGGGGCACCACCCATGAAGAGACAGCGCCTCCAGCAAGAGGTCGGCCGGCGTCGTCGCCAGAGCTCCCCTGACTGCCTAGACACGACCACTCCCGATCACAAATCCCCCCCACGGCAAATTCAGACCCAATCCCTCCCCGAAGGTCGCGCGCCCGTGGACCGCCACACGTCGCGCCCGCCGCATGTCCAACTCCTCGGCCGATAGCATTGCCTCATCCTCACATTTTCACACCGCGGGAAATCCTCGCGTAAACGGCAATGGCATTGCCAAGACCCCCCCGTGCGCTCGCCGACCGAGATGGACCTTCCGGGGGCGTCTCCCTCTTCCTCTCGGATGCGCGAGAATCGCCGGACCCATTGGACACTATCTCACCCCTCCCGGCCAATAAGCCCACCAAGCCGGTCCCCAGACCCTCAAGTACTATACGAGATTTGGAGGCAGATTCTCTGAGTTCGCCCGCCACCACTCGTACCACCCGACGGAACAATCCCGATCCGAACGCGGGGGATCCGGATAATGTCGCGGAGAGCAAGGACGCGTCACAATCAACGAGGAATATCGCAGACGTAGGGCTCCAACCGAAGCAGCAAAGTGAGCTCGGAGTTGAACAGGAGCAAGACGCGTCGGCGCAAACTGGGTCAGAAAGGCGCTCGCTGCGCTCTACCGACACGGGCTCTCGCTCGAAGAGTGAACTCGCTCAATACTTCTATAATTATGAGCAGATAATTAGTCTCGACGACCCGAAGCCTGGTAAGTCTGGATTGACCCCGACACTGCGCATTAAGAAGCTAACTAGGGGTACAGTGGAGTCACTTGCTGCCAGTACAACTGTTGCTTTGATACACGATCTCTCCGAACCTCTACCCTTGCCTTCCACCCCGAATCCCTCACCATTCGGAAACCCACTACAAAACCTTTATCGTTGCAAAGTGATCGATCTTCCAAACTCCGCATTACGCGCACCTGCTGTCGACCCCTTGAACGAAGAACTATACTTCCGCGCACATCGCAAGTTCGAACGCCAGGAGAAACAATTGCGGAATATCGAGCGGGATCGCGCCCAACATGAGAAACAACAGCTTGATCGGCTGCTCGAAGATCTACGCGGTCAAGACTGGCTGCGTGTAATGGGGTTGACTGGTATCCACGAGAACGAGAAGTATCTATATGAACCAAAGCGCCGAATTCTCATCCAGGAACTTGTCGCCCTAGTGAACAAATTTCAAATATGGAAGGACGAGGAAAAACGTCGGAAGATGTCTAAAGATAAGCCACTGCTGCTTGCTGAGGAAACAGACTCCCAATCACGCCCCCGCCCACGATCACAAAAACGACCTCAAGCCCCTGAAGCAGTCAGCGAGGAAGGCTCACCATTAACGGACACGCCTAGCACTCCGCCAGATCCCCACGATGTGGATGCACTGGCAGCCCGGCAACTGCACCAAGAAGCGCGCTCAGCGTCAGTAGCCAAGCACCGCAAATCCATCTCAGAAAATCGCAAACCGGCCTCCAAGCCTGTAGACGACCATACAAAACCCGCCAGCAAAAGCAAAGACACACCAAACACCACCACAAACACAAAAGATCCGGTCAAGCGTCAGAAAACTCTCCTCGACATGAATTTTATATCCTCCACAACCCCCGCCCCCGCCCTTCCCCCATTACCTCCCCACCCCCCCGACAAGCCTTTCACATCCTTCTTCGAAGACCGGAGCACTCGCGATACCGCCGTCGCCGTAATAAGCGGCACACCTCACAGTCACAACCAAATAATTCTCGCATTCGGTCACCCAATTCCAGAAGCCGAGGAGCAAGATTTCCAGCCATCGCCCGAAATCCTGACAGAAGAAGCCATATACTCGTCACGGCGGCAGATGCGGCGGCTGAAACGGCAAAGTCGCGGTGGATGATGTATACGTTTTCCGTCTCAGGACTATGTATCAACATCACCCTCATCCATCTGTATCTTCAACCTTGTCTTTATGTATTCGCCTCTTGTTTGATCCTTGTATGATAGCATTTCGGCGTTCTGGATATGCCATATCATATTTGGTGTATCTTCTTTAAGTGAGGGGTTTCGCTTCTTTTTGTATTTTTTCAGGCGTGGCGTTGTGGAAGGGTGGGATGTTGGCTAGGTCTGTATGGCTAACAGGATCTCAATGAAATAGAGTATAAACTTGCTCTCTACTGAAACAAAATAAATTTGAATGATGAAGATACATGAGCCTACAGGGATAGCTGACTAGTACTAGTATAGTCCATAATACGGGAGAGTGTGTCCTTCATTATTGCATTTGACGATTTAAGGTCAACGACATGGTTGCCTTTTGGATACGTTTTGTGTCTATGGCCCCTTTAACTTCACACTAATCCCAGGCTCACAGGACCGGTTTGATCTAATTAAAATGATGGACGCCTCGTAATGGCGCTTATTTGCAGATCAGGTTGTGGGTTGTCATGTCATACGCGCAGGGCCGGCCATTGCAGCAAGCCATGGTTGAACAACCACCTCCGACTAGTTTCGAACTCAGTAAATGAACTTGAACAAGAAAATACTAGTTTATAAATAAAATGGAATACTGACCACCAGCACAATTGTTGGCTTGGGCAACAGCGGCCATCAAGGCAACAGCAACAACAGCGAAGAGTTTCATTGTGAAATGCGTCCGTGTTGTGTTTTGTTAACTTCAACAGGTTGAATGGAGGAAGAGAATAATAGGGAAATTCGTGTGTCCGAGTTGAACCTTCAAGTTGGAAAGCTTACTAGTAGTAACATTGCCGGGTGGTAGGCCAACCAATGCTATTTATACTTGAGCAGGGATCTGAACATCCGTGGATGTCCGATATCCGAAACCCCATATTTAAAGTCCACTCCAGGGCTGGCACGAGATAAAAGCTACGAATCATACGACTTTCACAAGGCCTTGTTTCGGCGAGGCTGTGCTGTGCCCGAAGGATTCAACACTGGGAGCATGGATCGATCAGATAACTTTAGACCCCACGAAGGATCAAGATCGACGGCCCCATACCAAACTGGGGAGGTTCGGACCAACCATCGCAGGGTTTTCCCAGAAATTATTATCGTATTATGGAAATCCTTCGGAGCACCGTCAAGTGGGCCAGGGCTTTTACGTCTGTGGCAAAGACAGCCAGAAACTCAGTTCCTAGTCCAATGTGAGACAGTCACATCGATATGCCTTCAAGATGTTGAATGGACCGACTCACCGGCGGGATTCATTTCTTCGGTCTTCGGGTATGTCCTCTCTTACCAAATGTTTTAGTCAAAGTCTGCCAGTGGCAGGGATAATCCGAGTCTTTACTAATCATTTTCTTCGAAAAATTGCATTAATTGAAGCCAGTCGGCTGAGCTTGTTTCGCATTATCACAGCTTGGTATTTACGCCATGACCCAGGCTGGGGATGATTTTTCTGATTTCTCAATGACGAGATGGAGGCAAATTAGAGATCCTTATTCAGACCCTCCACTCGTGATTCAAAGACTCTTCCATCCTTGATAACACTCAGAATAGTTTCCTCCGCCCTGTCGAGGACCGTAATATCTTCCAACGGATTCCGGTCGAGCACCAATAGATCCGCCACAAATCCCTCACGAATTTGGCCAAGACGATCCTCCTGCATCACAAGACGAGCGGCATTAATGGTCGCACTTTGCAGGATTTGAAGTGGGGTGAGGATTTTGCTGCGAACGGAGAACTCCTTGCTCTGTGCGAAGTGCATTGGCCCAAGAAGGTCGCTACCAAAGCAAACCGTGACACCGCAGTCGACAGCCATTTTCATCGCCCTTAGCCCCTTCTCAAGGACCTCGTCATTTTTCGCAGCTCCGTCGGCTGGCAGGAAATTCATCTGCTTGGACATAACGTGGGCAATCAGAGTTGGGGTAAGGAAAACACCCTTCTCCGCCATCAACTTGGCAGTCTCCAAATCGATAAGGTTGCCATGTTCAATGCCTCGAACGCCTAGGTTGATGGCTTGTTGAATAGCTTGGGGTGTATAGCGGTGGCTTGTGACGTATGTACCGGCATTCTTGGCGACGGTGACAATAGCCTTGATCTCCTCATCCGAGAACTGCACATGCTCGATGCGATCCGTCGGGCTTGCGACACCTCCACCTCCCATAATTTTAATGAAATCGGCTCCCTTCCGAAGCTCGTCGCGTGCATACTTGTAACACTCTGCCGGTCCATCCACGATCCGACTAATACCGGAAACAGAGCCGCCACAGCAGAGTTGCTCATCGTGTGGCCCCCGCATATCTCCATGACCGCCGGTTTGTGAGAGGGCAAAGCCCGCAATAAACATTCGTGGACCCGGTAGAACGCCTTCTTCGACGGCTTCCTTCATCGCCCCGCTGGCACCTCCACAGTCTCGAATCGACGTGAACCCGCGACTGAGCATGGTCTTCAAAACGTGAGGCTGACGGAGAAGACTAATGCGTTCCGTCATATCTTTGTAGGCGCGCAGGTCCGCTTCGCCGGGCACTACTGCGATGTGTACATGGCAGTCGATTAGCCCTGGGCATATGTATTTTCCTTCCAGATCCACAATACCCTCCTCAGGTACATCTTCTCTTAGCGTGGACGATCCATCGGTAGAAATACCAACGATTTGACTGCCTGAAATCTTCACGGATGCATTCGGAATCAGTTCTCCTTTGACGGGATCGATGATGGTCGCATTCACAAGCACGCGCGTTTTCTGTGGTTGAAGTTTCCAGGGCTTGATAACTCGGGTAAGATCCATGTTGGCGAGGATTTCAGATGGATGCTTCGAAAGTGGTCTGGGGGGAATATAGATGTCAGAAATTCGTCGGGAAACAAGACAGCTAGGTAAGTGTTGTTTTCAGAGGTCAACTTACAGTATGCGCAGCCAGCCAGCTATTTGAAGTCGACCAACCCCGCCGAACCCGGTCGGAAAATGACCTCGGTTAGACAATCTGGTCCAAAGACTAATTCCTAGTTCTTTTTACAACTAGGCTCGCGTATTCAAGCAGCACAATCCGACCTCGCATTCGCATAGAGATTGGACCAATGTGGAGATAGGCTTGTTGCCGACACGACCAATCAGGGCAGATGAAACCTCGGATTCTCCCATTCTGATTGGTTCTATCGGCAGGGATTGATTTAGTTCGTTTGCTCCTCAGATTCTCCCCCGGGTTTTGACCACCGATGGCTCCAGAATTGCATACATTTCGTTAAAGCTGACGAGTCATTGAAAGGCCAAAGAGGAATCTCCGATATAGTGTTATCTTTAACGATTCCCAATGCGACCTTTGCCACAACTTATACTTTGCTCCAGACTCTCCCATGTGGGCGACCCTGGATCAACCAGCATAAATAGGCGTCCGCCGTCTGGTATCCATTCACAACTGACAACTTTCTTTTATATATAGCTGCTTTGGTTCTTCTTGATAAATATTTTAATTTTATTTAACCCCAGGGCTGAAATGGAGTCAGCACAAAAGCCTGTCGCCTCAGGAAATATTCAAGAACACGAGTCGAACCTTGCCCCTGATCAGCCCGAGACTACACATGGACTCCTTCACGAAATCCGTTGTTACCCCAAGATTGTCGCATATTCCTTCGGTCTCGCCCTGAATTTTCTTCTCACTGGATACGACACCGTTATCCTTGGCACGATCACCGCTGTCCCATACTTCAAACGTGAATTCGGCCAGCTATACGACGACGCATATATCATCCCGGCAGCATGGCTATCGGTATGGAGTGCAATGGCACCGATAGGGTCAATGCTGGGTGCAGCTGCAGCCGGATGGCTCCAGGATCGTCTCGGTCGTCGCATGTCGCTGGCCCTGAGCTCTGTGATATGTGCAATCGGGATCGCCATTGCGTTCTGCTCGAATCTCCCAGATGACATGGAGTCTAGGAGAGGTGCATTCCTCGTCGGACGTCTCATTCAAGGGTGGGGAGTTGGGGGTGCTATGGCTGGGGCCCAGACATATCTCTCAGAGTCGGTTCCCACCAGTCTGAGAGGATCTGCAATGGCCCTTTCGCCAACTTTCATGCTATTAGGGGAGCTTATCGGCGCGGCTGTTATTTTCGGCTGTGAAAAGAAAGACACCGCAGCCGCATATCTGATTCCCTTTGGTACCCAGTGGATCTTTACCGTTCTGCCGTTTGCTTTGGCAATTGTCATGCCAGAAAGTCCATCTTATCTCATCCGGACCGGTAACTACGACAAAGCATACGAGGCGATGAAGTCTCTGCACACGACAGCAATTGATGTCACTCCCTTGCTGAATCAAATGCAACTATCCATTGCCCATGAGCAAGAGGTTTATCAAGAGCTATCATATCTTGATTGCTTCAGAGGAACCAATAGACGCCGAACGGCTATTGTGGGATTCGCATTTATGGTTCCCAGCTTTTTTGGAGTTCCACTGTTAGCCAGTGCAAGCTATTTTATGCAAATGGTCGGGATGGACTCTAGTCTCAGTATCATCGTTCTGATTCTCGGCATTGTCTTGGGATTGTTAGCCAATGCGGTCGGTATCTGGTTTATGAGTCTCATGGGAAGGCGCCGCCTCATGCTCATTACACTAGCCATTACTACGGCCATATGGCTAAGTATGGGGATTTCTGGTTGCTGGTCAGGAAATGTCGTGATTTGGTATGTCTTTGACCTCCTATTGTCTCGTTGACTCAATACAAAAAAGATACTAACAGAGATACCAGGTACACCGCAGCTTGTATGATGGCAGTGGTTGTTGTATGCGGCATGGGCGCTTGGCCAGCTTCATATTCAGTGGCCGGCGAAGCTTCTTCCCTGCGGCTTCGCGCTAAGACTCAAGGCATTGGCGTTTTTTGCTACATGTTGTCTAACGTGGTTTTCAACCTTGTCTTGCCATATATCTACAACACTGATGCTGGAGACCTTAAAGGCAAAACAGGATTTGTGTATGCCGGACTGTGCTTTATGACATTCGCGATCACATGGTTAATTATTCCGGAGATGAAAGGTCGCTCGGCTTTGGATATCGACGCGATGTTTGAAGCCAAACTCCCTTGCAGACGGTTCAAGAACTGGTCTAGTGAGGAAATGCCCCATAAAGAGGGAGCCATCTAGGTTTTAATTAATAGACAGAGGTGTTGAATTTCCTATGAACCGAGAATAAGTGATGTTTACGAAGCCTTGTAGTATTACAAATAGGAAAGAAAGTACAATGCGCTCACATTTGTGTAATGAATCAACCATTGTTAACATCTCTCATTATGTGCTCTACTGAGTTAAAAGCTTCTAATACTGTAGGTAGGTATTGGTATCGTATTTTGGGCATTAATACTAGGTGTAGCAAGAAATCCATCATTGTGTAATGAAATATACTGCGTGACTGGTCATAACGATCTTCAAATAGAGAAATACAAGCAAGGGGAATACCCCAGAATAGTGAGGTATCAGTTGATATGCTCCACAACCCCCTGCTGGCCCAACTTTTCGTCCGCCGCAGGGACGTCATTACTATCTCCGAAAAGCAAATCCATCTGCTCCAATGTCTTGCCCTTGGTCTCCGGGTAAAAGAAAAAATAGCAGAGCATCGCAATAATGTTGAAGACGAAAAAGACATAGAAGTAGCGGAAGCCGATATTTGTCAGTGCAGAAGGGGAGAATTGCGCGAAAACCAAGTTAAAGGTCCAATTGGTGAAAGTGGTGACCGAATTTCCTTGGTTGCGAATATCCACAGGGAAAATCTCAGCGGGGTACACCCAGGAGATAATTCCGACAAAGGTATAGAAGAAGCTGAATACGAAGTTCATCGCGACCATCGCACGGAGCTGGTTGTTATTACTTTCATCAAAATGTTGAGACATGGCGGCATTGGCAACGAGCGCTAACGCCATACCGACGGATCCAATGATGAGAGGCTTGATACGACCGACACGCTCAAGTGCCCAAAGGCCACCTGTGCACCAAACGATGGAAAGGGCACCGGATATACCAATGATCATGAGCGAAGTTTGTGTATCGATTCCCAGGGAAGCATAGATACGAGTACCGTAGTAGTTGATGACGTTGATTCCAGAAAGAGGACCAAAGGCTTGTACGCCGCAACCAAGAATCAAGCGGCGACGCCAAGAGGGTTTGGTGATGATGGTAGTCCATGTGATCTTTGTTGATGCGCGTTCGGCATCGATCACGTCTCGAATTTCTTGGAACTCCATCTCAATGTATTCTTGTTTTTCAGGAGTGCCGTCTCCATGAAGCCTATGTAGAGTGGCCAGAGCTTCGTCATGACGATCTTTCTCCATGAGCCACCGGGGAGACTCATTCAGGAACCAAATTCCACTGGCAAGGATCAGGCCGGGAATGCACTGGAATGCAAGAGGAAAGCGCCCTTTTGAAAGCATGAAAGTCAGCTTTTAAAGTCCCGCAGTCGGAGTTCGCGAAGAAACTTACATTGAAAAGCGCTGTCCACAAAAGAGCAACCATATCCAAGCCATTGAGCGATGAGATATCCCCAACTCAACATCCATTGTAATAGGCCAGACATCATGCCGCGACTCTTGGCTTCCGCCATCTCACCAGCATACATCGGAATGACCGAGGTGAGCATACCAACGGCCACACCGGCGATAAATCGACCAATAATTAGCATCACCATGTTGACTGCACCAGCCTGCAGGGCGCATCCAAAACAAGAGATACAAGCACCAGTGAAAACGGAAAGCTTTCGACCGAGCCGATCGCCAGTGAAGGCATTGATTATGGTTCCAAGAATGGCACCGCCCTGGAATGCCGAGACAACACCGCCAGTTACAGTGTCATTTGGATTGGAGAAATATTTGATGAACTCAGTCTGGCCAATAGTGGAAGTGACGATACCACTATCATATCCGAAGAGGAAGCCTATTTCAAAAACCAACTTGTTAAAATTGTTGCTGTGGACGGGGTTGTGGTAGTATTACCTCCAATGGCCAGGAAAACGGCGGATAGCAAAGTGGTGATCTTCGTCATCTTAGCTCGAGAATGACGGGCGCAATTTTTCTTGATCTAATATCCTTTCTCGCGTCGTTCTGGGCGATTTATTAAATACGCGAGCGGTGATGTTTCAGACAAGAAATAATCGGGAAAGCAAGATCCCTGCCCTCCCAAACAGCCGGCCAGAAGACCCGACTATACTGGTCTCCCGAACATCGAAAGTAAAACCATACTAGTTACAATTAGGAAAACACCCCATGAAGTGTTCGGCGTAAAGAAGCCCGAACTGGACAAGCAGTGGCGGCAAGCTCAATTCATGAATAGCTGGGAACCAATCCCCGTGGGGTTGGAAAAATAGACTAGAGCAAGCCACCCGATTTCTGCCAATGAGAAACCTTGATCCTCATTCCACAAACTCGCGATACACCAGGTGTCACTCCGGACTTCCCGAGGCTTAAAGTTTTCGGTTAGTTATATGCCGACATTTCGGTTCGGTTTCTGACGGAGTTTGCTGGAACGTGGTCGACATCTCAGACCAAAAACCCGAATGAATAGAAGCGAACTAAGAATTAAAGGCAATAGAAATATTTTTGAACCAGACCACATTCCCTTGCCAGATCTCTCTACCTAAGCATGCATACTATGGGACAATTCAGGGGTTGCCACAAATACTAGTTAGCAGCCACTGGGACCTTACTTGCGATTTGGTTGGTTTGGGGAATTATTGGGAGCACTGCCCAGGTGGGATTGATGACAAAAATATTTCTATGTAAAATTTAACGATTGATGAATATCACGATCGCACAGTAATTCTGTAAGATCCATGCTCGACTTTTACGTCGCCACAGTTCCAAATTTCCATGGGCTCATCTTCACGCCTGACCTCGGCTTGCTTTGATAAAGGAATCTTGACCACTGCAGATGTTCCAAATGGCACCCTCAGATCAAGATTCACCTCGTCAGCTGCACTGCGTTGGAATTCTATCTTGATCAGCCCGTAGGGCGAGTCGACGGATCCATGAACATGGCAAAATTCAGACTCATAAGGGGGATCAACCTCGAAGGTTCGATAGGCATTGTCAATTGGCTTCAGGCCAAGAACTGCAGCGTAGAACCACTCATAAATCGTACCAAGCATGTCGTGGCACTTGCTACGGCATTCATCCTGCCAGAATTCCAATAGGGTGGTCTCGCCGCGACGTAGGAATCGCATGTAGGAAGGATGCTCCTCTTGTCGCGCCATCCTCAGTACCAGATCTGGGCGTTTGGCATCGGCGAGAGTGTTGAAAAGAAATCTTAGACCGATTTCGCCGGCTCGAATCCGTCCATCCGATGTGTCATCAATAAATGTGGCCAAGACATCTTTCTTGTATTCAGATGGACATAGGTCGAACTGAAGAGCCATAGCCTGAGCAATTGCTGTATGGTCACGACGAGGGAAGTCATCCAGAGACGTGTAATACGCTTGCGGATGCGAAGGATCGTCCTTAACGAGAAGGTGGCGGTTATAGGCCACGTAGATACGAGAAGACCATTCTTTGTATTTTGTGGCATCTTCCAATTTCCCAAGCTCACGGGCCATCATCTCAACACATTGAAGGCATTTGTAGTAAATGGCTGTCTCGATATTGGCTTGGTGATTGCCGAAAGCAATATCGCGGCCCCAGTCTCCCAAGCCGTGTTCGACCAGGCCGCCCTTTCGTTCTTTCGTGCGCATGTATTCCATATATCGCACTGCGGCAGGGTATACTTTGGGGATGACGTGCGTGGAGCCATAGTATCGCAGCAGTATATCCGGTAAGAGACAAATGGCACAACCCCAGGTAATTGTGTCGTGGAGTGGGCCACACATGTATCGAATCTCTGGTGCCATTGTCGGAACGAGCCCACTGGGCTCTTGTGCATCCAAAATATCGTCCAGAATCTTGGTATACAATGATTCCATGTCTCGAATATACTGCGTAGCAGGTGCAAGCAAATGTGTCACCTCGAGCCAACCAAACTTCTCAATTTGTGGACAGTCAGTGTGATAGCTGAATAAGTTGCTGTTGAATGTCCAGTAAAGGGCGCTAAGCAAGTCATTTACATCTTGCTTATCTGTTTTCATGGTGCCGAGTCTTCGAGCAGCAGATGAAATATGGCGGCCAACAGCGGAGTGGATTATAGGGAGACCCTCTTCTCCATCAAGCCCCACGCCTTCCACTTGGATGTATCGGGCACTTGTGAAGCTGAAGTCTGGTTCCCAGGTTTCTGGCTTCCCTGTGCCGGCAAGATAGATCTTAGAAAAAACCCCTGTCTCGAACTCCTTGAAAAGTGGATCTGGCATCAAAATGGTGCCATCTTCTTTGACGGTCTCGGAATACCGCACGATAATTTCTGATCCGGCGGAGCCTTCGGCAATGATTTGAACCATTGTTGAGGCATTCTGACCAAGATCAAAGCAGACCACTCCTTTGCGAGGGCTATATCTTCTCACCGGGTTGAAAGTCTCATGTAGCACAACCGGAGGCTGCGTCTGGTAATAAATATGACCACGAGGACCAGTCAATGGCTTGGCAGAATTCCAGCCCTCGCCAGAAAACCCGACCGTGTCCCAGTTGTCAGGGTAAAGTCTCCGGTCGTGGGTTTCCGATGCATATATGTTGGCCAACGTGGTGGCACTCTTTTGGACAGACCACGTAGGGTCTGAGATGAGAGTTTCATGGGACCCATCATCGTAGAAAATATGCAACTCGCAAAAGAAACAGAGTTCGTTTCCATATCTAACATATGTGTTGTCCTCATACATTGGCCAGAAGAATCGATCATCACCCCCCTTGTCTCCTGCATAAAATCCATTGCCAACATGAGCACCCATAACATTTTCTCCAGCAGTCAGATGAGCAGTGACATCGTAAGAAGTGAACTGAACACGTTGATGGTAGCCGGTCCAACCAGGATCGAGTCGATGATCAGAAGCTGGTTGCCCGTTCAAGCTCATATTGAAGTGCCCCAATCCAGAAGCGAACAGAACAGCCCGAGTTGGCTGCCGGGGCAATTGGAACGATTTTCTGAGGTAGATAGGCTTATCACCTCCATCTCCAATCCAAACGGCTTTCCATCTGTTGGCTTCATTCTCAAACCAGGTGCGGAAAATAAGACTTGAATGCGGCATGTATTTTTGATTCATCGAGTAGGGCGGCAAGAGACGCGATCGAGGATAGGCTGTGAAAAAGTGCTGGATCGGACTTTGATAGACTCGAGCGCTGCCGTCCCATACCGTGACTTGCCAATAATAGTTGCATGTTGACTTAAAACCATCGTCCAGCTTGCAGAGTATGTTTCGTTGTTCGTTGCTCTGAACACGCCCAGAGTCCCAATCAAGACCGGATATCTTTTGGCCTGGGGACTCGAGGGCCTTCGGATCCGTAGTGAGAACAATCCTGTAGGCAGCTTGGGCGGTGCCTTTCTCGGTACTTTCGATCGCCCAATAGAAGCGAAGCTCGTCGGAATCTATGCCAAGCACTTCGTGGAATCCATGTATCCCGCAGCGGGAGAAGACCAGCGCGGGCGAGGACGTGGACATGATCATGGATCTGCCTTTTGGGTTTTAGTGAGCGAATAGACCTCGGCAAGGGTTAGAGATTTGAATGGCTTGCGACCCTACAACGGGCTAGGAAATGGGGTTCTCAAATTAGCAAAGGGCAGCGCCGACTCGGCATTCGGAAATCCCGAGACAAGCTGGGGAGTGGGCTTATTCGGGGTCTGTTACCCCGAAGATGTCCACAATTTCTAGGGCCAAGGGAGTGATTGGTTCCGCCAGGCCAAACAAGTCTTTGGCTGCAGGGGTTGCTGAAGCGGCGGTTTCAAACGGCAATCTTAACGACTTGGATTTGCCGAAGATTTGCCGGGTAAATTTATTTATTTCTTAAGTTTGTTGATTCCCCCCGCATTTCCACCCTTCCCCACGTTTGCAGGGATCACGTCGGATGTTCCGGGGTAATGCACCGTGTATCTCTGAAAGGAATCAGTCTTGTCCAGCGTTGGTTGCTGTCAATGGGAGAGAGAGTAAGAAACACAACCTGCAGACGATACTAGTTTTTGTCACTGAGGGAAAATCACTATTCCAGAAACCAAGTTAGAAACAATGTAGACGAGATTCGATCTTTGTAAAGATCAACCAGATGTAATCGTTTTTAAGCGAAGTAAAGTAGATCGACATTAATTATGGGTCGGCTTGGAAAACCCGACTTCGTGCGGAAACATGAATTCCAAGGCTATAAGAGATGCCGTTCGCAATTGAAAACTTATCGCTTTGAATTGACTTCTTTCACATTTCATCAACAATATGCTCTGGAGCTCTCTTCCATTCATCACCTTGCTTTGCGCCCCGGGCGTATTAGGTGCTCCAGGATATTCTGCCCAAAAGTCCAAATATGTCGATTGGAGGGGTTTCAAGGCCAACGGAGTCAATCTCGGAGGCTGGCTAGTTCAAGAATCGACAATTGACACCACTTGGTGGGGCACCTATTCTGGAGGAGCGGGTGATGAATGGGGTCTTTGCAAGAATCTTGGTTCTCGCTGCGGGCCTGTGTTAGAGGAGCGATATGCCTCTTGGATTACCACCTCTGATATCGATAAGATTGCTGCGTCCGGGTTGACACTTCTACGCATCCCAACAACATACGCTGCGTGGATTCATTACCCGGGTTCTCACCTCTATTCCGGCAAGCAAACAACATATCTCAAGGAAATCACGACACACGCGATCAAGAAGCATGGAATGCATATCATTCTTGATGTTCACGGCTTACCTGGGGGTATAAATGGGCTGGACATTGGTGAGGCTAGTGGTCATTGGGGATGGTTCTATAATGAAACCAACTTTGAATACTCTATGAAGGTGGTTGATGCTGTGTTATCCTTCATCCAGGAGTCCGGCCACCCAGAGCATTTCACATACGAGCCAATGAATGAGCCTGCCGACAATCGCGACTTGTCCGTGTTCGGTACCCCAGCTGCTTTATCTGATTCGGGTGCGGCATGGGTCGTGAAATTCATCAAAGCCGTTATTAGTCGCGTCGCCTCCGTCAACCGCAATATCCCGGTCATGTTCCAGGGTAGCTTCAAGAGTGAAGAATATTGGTCGGCAAATTTTTCCAAGCACGATAATCTTGTGTTCGACAAGCACGACTATTTCTTCGAAGGTCGCAACACCACCTCCCGCAACCTACCATCCTATATCTGCACGGACGTCAAATTGGTCCCCGGCGACGGTAAATTCCCAGTGTTCGTTGGAGAATGGGCAATCGAAACTCTATACAACAACAGTTTCGCTCTACGTGAGCGTAACCTTAACGTGGGACTGGCTGCTTATCACAAATTTGCCCGTGGTTCGTCATACTGGACCTGGAAATTCTCTGGAAATGCTACGGTCGGAGGGGAGGGCACAAAGGCCGATTATTGGAACTTTGAAGAGTATGTCGATCGAGGATATTACCATCCCAAGGCTAGCGACATCGCATTTTGCGATTAATTTTACATGTCATCCAAAGGGCGTGAACGATCCTCCCCTAGTTATGTAAGGCGTTCCGCTTTGACTCAGATTAGAAATCAACGCCGTTCCCGCGAAACTTCGAATTTAAAAATCCTCCTCTCGGTATGATCATAAACAAATCAAAGCACAAATTTGGTCACGATGAGTACAAAGTCGAGAGTCACACTCTATCCTTGGGATCCCGAATCATCCGCCCACCGGCATTGGCTTTACAAACAACGAGTTGAGTGTACTTGGGATCAGGAGAAAGTCGAAACCAAATGGAGGGAGCAGCAAATAAAAGGCGAAAAGTGCTTGTATTGGATTGTGAGTGGGAGATGAAATAGTAAATCTACTTACCGTCCTCTAACGTGTGGCTGCAAAGGTGCTGCATACCGACCACTCAGAAACATGCAAAGACGCAGAGTTATCCCCCGCATCAAAGGTACACATGGGCATAATGCCAACACATCAATGTGCGGAATTAAATTAACATCGACTAGATTATTGAACAGCTACAAGATACAGCTGTATACCTTAACGCCGTGCCCCGTAACCCGTCTCAGCAAGCCTTCGTCCCAATTGGGCATATTTCTCTTGATTCAAAGAACCCGGAAGTAGTTCATTCAGGGATTGAGATTCCCTCCGATGCTGTCTACTGGATCAAGACATTTTTCGTACAACATCATTTGCAAAGCAAAGGCATTGGTCGTGCTGCGATGGATGAAGTGGAGGCCATGGCTGTAAATGAACCACTTTCAGCCAAGACCTTGATGTTGGATACTGTTGAGAAAGGGGATCAATTGCGAGAGGAATTTGCGAAAGCTACATACGGGGATATTCCGAAGGTATGTGATAATTATTTTGCTTTTTGAACTTGAAGGGTGCATCGTGCTGAGATTCCTAGGTTACCAATCAAGATTGGTATTCTCGGCGAGGATATCAACCGATTGGAATAGTGCAAAACTATTACGATGTGAGGGACAGGTATGGGAAGAAGTGGGATACCAAGACTATTTTTATGAGGAAAGACATCTGTTGATCTATTCTAGTACATTTTTTGGAGTAGTGACGTTGAAGATCTATCTATCCCTTTTGACTTTGATTTTTGTTGTTTCGGAGAAAACTTCACAACACGGCATTTTCTTTTTTACGTTGACATTTTCAAAACCGGTTTACAGTGGTTAAAATGACTTGTAGCGATGCTGATCAACTTTTATAGATAAGATATTGTGCAAAATTGCGTACATTCCATTAAAATACGTCCAGAATAAACAAGTCAAAAGATTAGAAGAAAACGAAATCAAAACAAAAACATCCGAAGCCAGCAATAGGGGTAAAAAACAAAATCAGAAATCAGTGCACCTTGAACCTGTCAATCAAATACTCAAAATTATTTCTTCTTTCCGCCAAGACCGAGGGCATCTGTCAAACTTCCCAGACCAAGACCGTTGATCAGCTTATCCAATCCAAGTCCACCAAGGAGGCCGTTCAGGATACCACCAAGACCAAGGCCATCCAAAAGTTTGCCAACTAGACCAAGAACACCACTGAGGAGAAGACCAACAGCAGCAATGATCTGGAACAAAGGCTCAGAGAGCAGAGCCCAGAGAGGGTTCAGCTTCTTCTTGGCATGGGGCATGTCAGCAATGCGTTTCTTACCGTTGTCGATGGTTTTGACAACGGTTTCGGTCAACTCCTTGAGCATATCAGCGAGTTGATATTCCTCTGGAGTAGCATCGCGAGAAGAGGCACGAGCCTTCGCGGTTGCAGCGATACGGCCATCGGGATCAAGAGCCCGGATTGCACCGTTGCATTCTTGGAGGATGTGACCAGCTTGCTCGATAAGAGGCTTGACAGCTTGAACAAGCTTCTCTTCGTCGAGCTCTTCCTTGGGGGTTCGGTCGGCCTTCTCGAGTTGCTATAGAAAGAATGTGTTAATTGGCTGCGGCCATGAAAAGGCAAGTATGTTTTTACGTACCTCGGAGATCTGCTTGCAAACCGGCTTCACTTGCTCGAGAGTTTGGCGCAGGATGTTGCACATCTTCTCGGCGAGCTGGCGATCTTGCTCAGCCTTAGCTTGTACTTCTTGCTCTTCGGCTGTTGGGCCCTCTTCTTTTTCTGGCTCTGGCTCGGGGATGTTTTCCAACAGAGTGCATTCACCCAGTTTGTTGCCATCATTGTCAACAACAAATCCATTGTCGTCGATCTTCTTTCCAACGAGAGTGGCCAGGTTTCCACTGGTCAATTTGCCAATGAGATTGCCATCAGCATCGCGAACCTCACCCTCCTTGGTGACCTTGCGACCAGCCATGGGGTTGACGTCGCGCTGCTTCTCCTCCGGCTCCCAGCGCTCAGCCTTGCCAATGGAGTTTCCGTTCTTGTCAAGAACATCACCCTCTTCATCGACCTTGCGGCCTAGGAGACGTTTCGCATCTCCCTCAACAAGACGTCCGATGATACGGTCCCCGTCCATGACAACACCATCCTTCGCGACCTGGGCGTTATCAAATCCGAAGAATGGACCCTCGGCCTTGTGCTGCTCGGCTCCGGGGATGAGCTCTGCACGACCAACAACTTGGCCGTTGTCACCCCAGATCTGTCCCTTGCCATCAACCTTGCGACCGGCAAGACGCTTGTCACCTTCGACGATGCGACCGAAGACAGCACCAGTGGCGGGGTCAACAACGTTGCCGCTTTTGTTCACAACTTTGCCTTCGAGAATAGACAGATCTGCTTCCTCGGGTTCCTCCTCTTCCTCAGGCTCGTATGGCTCAGCACGACCCTTAACGTTGCCATACTTGTCGGTGATCTCGCCATCCTCGTCAACAGCACGACCACGCAGTTTCTTCGGGTCACCTTCGACGAGCTGGCCAACGACAGTTCCATCCTCATCTTCGACGAAACCATCCTTGCGAACGACAAGGCTCTCCATGCCGGCGAATGGACCCTCAGGCTTGCTCTCGAGCTCCTCTTCGGGGATCAATTCAACGCGACCAACGACATTCTTGCCATCGTAGATCTCGCCATCGTGGATCTTCTTGCCAACAAGCTCTTTGGGGTTTCCTTCAACAACGCGAGCAATGGGGAAACCTTCGGAGCCGATGACATATCCAGCCTTGTTGCAGGATAGGCCATCCAAAGCAGAGACATCGGGGGCAGGCTCCTCCTCAGCCTCGGGCTCGTCATAGCGCTCAGCGCGACCGATGACACTGCCGTGACGATCGAGAACTTCACCATCTTCGTCGACTCCACGACCGAGAAGCTTCTTAGGATCGCCTTCGACAAGTCTGCCGACGCGGGTCTCATTTTCGTCTTCGACCCAGCCATCTTGGCCGACGACAAGACCCTCAAGACCAGCGAAAGGACCCTCCTCATCTTTACCATCGTCGACTGGAAGGGCCTTGATCTTGCCGATGACATTGCCACGGTTGTCCCAGAATTGACCTTGCTCATCGAGGGTAGCGCCAAGGCGTGAGATCTTCTTAGGGTCACCTTCGACAAGCTCACCAACGGGCTTACCGGTATCGTTATCAATGACATAGCCGCGCTTGTTGCAGGTCAGACCTTCGAGAGTATCGAGATCAGGAATGCGCAGATTGTCGTCTTCGGCAGCGTCTTCTTCGGCAGCGTCTTCGGCGGTTTCTTGAGCGTCTTCAACCTCACCCTCTGCAGTCTCCTTGGCCTCATCAACGTCAGGAACATTATCTTGATCCTGTTCAGCGGCGTCTTCTGCTGTATCTTCGACACCGTTGATTTGGTCATCGGCGACATCCTGAGTCTCATCGACATCAAGGCCATCCTGAGTCTCATCGACATCAAGGCCATCCTGAGCGTCTTCAAAATCATCCTCATGATCATCCTTAGCGCCATCAATTTGAGATGTGGCATCACCGGCCACTTCTTCGATGGCCTTCTTCTGCTCCTCAATAGGGATGAGCTCGACACGACCGATAGCATCGCCTTCATCGTCGACAATTTCACCGTCGTCATTGAGTGTGAATCCAATCAAATCTTCGGGATCACCCTCGGTAATTTTGCCAACGACTTGACCTGCAGCATTCTTGATCACACCACCGTCAGAAACGGGCAGGCCCTCAAGCTGAGACAGATCGGTGACCACTTCCTTCGCAGCGTCGTGCTTAGACTCAGCTTCATCGGGAAGGTTATCGGCTTGATCAACCGCGCCTTCGAGAACATCGACGCGGCCAATGAGGTCACCTTCTTCGTCAATGACTTCTCCATCCTCACCAACAGTCTGACCGACAAGGTCGTCGGGTTCTCCTTCGACAACCTCGCCCAGGGGGTTGCCATCCTGACCAAGGATCTTTCCTCCGTCAGAGATAGTGAGTCCCTTCAATGCGGATAGATCGAGGGGATTGCTGGGCAGGTTGTTTGTATCCTTCGATGCACCTTGTTGCGCGGTATCCTTAGCCTTGCCAGCAAGGCCCTTGGCTTTGCCCGCGGTGCCATTACGAGGGGCAGCCGAGCCGGATGCCTGAGAGGTGACATCATCATCTGGAGGTGAGGCGGGGAGGCGTTGCTCTGAGGATAGAGACTTCTTCTTCGACTTGGGTGATGGGGTTGCGGGAAGGGATTGCTCGTCCAAGTTGTCTTCGATAGGCTCGGGTGCCTTGGGGGTGAGCTTGCGCGTAGGTGTTTTCTTCACTTGCTTGGGAGTTTCAGAGACGCTTGGCTTTGAGGCAGCACTAGATCCTGAACCCTTGCGAGTCTTGAGAGGAGTCCCGGCCTTGGATCCCAGCTTGGGTGGTGCTTTGCCAACGGCGGGGGACGACATTGTGTATAAACTCGGTATTGTTTGAGAGAGGTTGGTGACAGTGAGGCTCTTTCAGTTCAAATGAGATTCAATAACAATGATAGTGTCAAAAGTCGATATTGATTTGATCGATTCAGCAAATAGAGGTTTTCGAAATAAAGATAGTGACGTCGTGAAATTTGCGGGGGAGGTATGTATAATATACAATCGTGAAACTGGGGAGTAAGGCTCAATAATAATAGAACGAATAGAGCTTTTTTTGATATCAAGAATCGTAAGTCGGGATTCTTGCGGAATGTAAAGTGTTTAAATGAAAAGATAGGGTATCAAGTATGAATGACCAGGAACCTTCAGCCTGGCAATCTATATAAGTTGCTTCGTGCCAGGCACGAAGTTGACGGAGCCAACTACGTCACTATTGCTGATATCATCGCTACTAGCGCAGTCGTCAATATTCTAATCCCTGCTACATTCGCCGTAGGTCGACCCAGACTATTTGCATGGTGCACGGTGCAGACATGCGGGATGGGGAGCCACAGAGCCACAGGGCGACCGTTGGTATCAGCACTGGCATCATAATAGTGGGTCTTGTAAGTTAATTTGATGAATCGAGACGCGCCTAGAGACCGACGATTCTTGATTATAGCAGGGGGGGCTTGCGAATCAGAGGTCGTGGTGGAGGTGGAGCACGGCGTGTCCGTATAGATTATAACATGACGCGGAGGGACCTCTAGGTAGCACTGCTTTAACTATGTGCAATTTCTTGTCTAATCATTCCAATCATATGAACTTGAACTTGAATAAAATCACATATACCGGCGTTATTTTTCGGCTGCTTGTCCTACTACTCATTCGTAGTACCCAGTAAGCCAGGGAGAATGATATTTCACCAGTGAATCCTGTTTCCAGTCATATGGCTCAACATCAGAACTCAAGGAACTCGTTATGTATCATACCATGGCAGAACAGGGCAGACGGAAATAAGTGCCCATTATCGAATGACTGGTTATCGACAGGTCGCGAGCCACGGAAGCGCTCTTTGGATGAAACGTGGGCGGGAAAATCAACTTGTCGGATTGGCTGAATCCAGGGGTCCTTGCTCCAGTCGAATTCGCCTCCTCGGTTTTTACCGCTGTCAGTCAGTCCCTGTCAGTCCCTGTCAAGTGTCCTGTATAGTGAGTGGCTCATGACCATCACAGTTTGGGCTGATGCCAGCCTCGACGTCGTGTGTCAACGACGAGCTATCGATTTATCGAGATTAATTTACGAGAGCTATTACATCAGATGTTACTTGGCACTACAGAGGTTTGACAGTGCAACTGACCGCCGCAAGATTCTCATCTCTATTTCCATGGGATTTCTTCTCCTTGAGATAGGATGAAACAACGCCGGCTCTGGATCCTCAAGTATTCCTGTTTGTGGTCGCAGCTATGACGCTAAATCAGTAAGCAATTCGGGGTTGTACTGCTACATTGATATAAACTCCGTAAGCAGCTGGCCAATGCATGTCGAGCCAGATTGCATGGGCCAGGCCCCCCTTGTCAGCCCCGAGGTGAGTGGAGGAAAAGAGGGTCGAGCGCAGCCAAAGCCACCGGAATACCGGCCGAATGAGATCATGCTCGATCGGGCGATTCATCATTTTTAATCTATTTGAGTGGAGCCTTCAGCCACACGAGTCATCCGAGGCAAGAGCTGATATCATGGGGCAAATATCAAGGCAGGGCGAGGAGTAAAGACTCTTACACGTTTTACCGTTCTTCCCATGGTTCTCAGATTGAATTGTATCATAGTATTGCAATATTGATCGTTCGGTGCGACTGTAAGAACCACCTGACGTTCGATCAGCGGCCGTTTTCCCGCCGCGTGGACATCGGCCCACTAGAAAATCCCCGACAGCGCGCCAAATCAAGGTTTGGCACTAGGGCCAACGGTGTGGAAATCAAGTTTTTTCTGGTGCGTCCTTTTTTAGTAACTGGGGTAGTCTTGTCTATTTTCATCATGAGTGGCTGCAATCTACCGATGGTCTTCCACCGTGGAGAATGCAACATTCTTCACAAGAATTGGATCCATTCTCATTCAGACAATGACCTTGTGTTTCTACTAGTCTGACGTGGAATTTGTTTGGAATTTTCGATATCTCGATATTTTTCGCTAGCAAGTATATGTGCTAGCAAATATATGTGGCATTCAAGATCTACTGCCTGTTCAGAGTGTGCGGACCCGCGCATCCCCCTTCTACGGTCGCATTTTGGTTTGAATGGGTATATCGGGGGTATTTGTCCAAGGGCTCGAAAAGGTGGACCAAGATAAATACCGTATAGTCGATGAGATTCGTTGGAAACCTGAACTGTTGTCGCTTCAGGCAAACCCAGATAATTACGAAACGTCATATGCTACGTTTAAATGCCTGTCGTTCGTCGGTGGCTCCTAGAACCGACGGCATGCAATCGGAATCTGACGTCGATTGGCAGGCTAATAACCATTGAAATCTGCTCGGTCTACCTTATGCAGAGCATCCCTTAGAAATTAGTCCGGTCATTCCTGGTTTCCAGATCTGTTCCTGCATATATGTACGAGTATGTATCATCATCATAGCACGGCCCTCGATGTTCATGCTCTTTTTAGCTCGAACGCCGCAATGTAGACTGTAGCCCGACACCGTGGCTCGGTGGATCACGCTTAGATTGAACAGTATGAATTGCCTCCGATGTTATCAATTTTTTCGACACGAGATGGCGTATGTACTCCATTGTCCATTCTTGGCATCGTTTGTTATTGCGCTGTAAACAAGCATTCTGGTTAGCAAAGCTCCTGGTATAACACGCTGACTTGATCTGGCAGACTCACATCATTCACTGGGGCCAGGAAATTCTCACTAATTCCGGGAGGAGTCACCTGTGAGGCGGCAATCTCGATATTCCCTCTGGGCTCGTAGTCGGTACTCTTGATATCAGTTGTAGCATCGACGATATTTTCAGCATCGACATCTCCAAGCGGTATTAGAGAATAGTGCTCTTGTGTGTCATTTATAGGAGAGTAATTTCGTTTGAATTCAAGGATGTAACCAGTCATCGGTGCACCGACAGCCTCGATCAACGTTCCTTGGTCTGGCTCTGTGGCGGCAGGAACAAAGATCGCAAAGTGCGCCCGTTGAAACTCTGCATTGCGAGACGAAACGAGGTAAATGGTTCTGGATGTCATAAAGTGCTGATGGGAGGATGTAGAAGGTAAAGATCAAGATCAAGACGAAGATGAAGATGAAGGGGCGGTGGATCAACTTGGTTATGCCAATGACGTAATGCGGGGAAGCCAACCAAGAACAGTAGGGTTTAGTTATACGGAGTACATACTAGTATCAAGACAATAAATGGATACAATAATCTTGAGGTATTCGCATTGATGCATTGATTTAGGATGTGTAAGAAAAGCGTCAGTTGCACACATGGCACATCGCCTGATTGAACATCACGGTACTATATAAGCGTAATCTGCTTTTCTTCCTCAGCCAGACCAACCTGACTCATAATCAAGCGCATCTTGATATTATGATTAACCCTTGGATTTAGTTCTTCAGGTATCAACATCCCCAAATACTCTCCCTAGCCACAAGTGAAGCTTTGAATTTCTCCCATTTCCACACGCCGGTCTCGAAGGGCGCGAGCCACGTTCGCGCCATATCATTTCCCGGAAACGTGGGCCAACTCGAGCTCATATGTTTCTCCGTAAATGACATTATCCTCAATAGTTTCTCCGTCGTCTCTGCCCATGCTCTTATATCGCTCATATGAGAGATCAGATCCTCAGGCTCGGAATCATCATCTTCAAGTAATTCCACAGGAGGTGCCGAGGAACCCGAAACAAACGAGAGGCAGAATCTTTCCAGATCCCATGTATATTCGGACGGTAGTTTCCAGTCACGTAGACTTGTCCATGCGGTATTCAATTTATCAGCTCGAGGCATTTTCTCCGTGCCGCGTATTTCATCGTCTTGCTCTCCGAGATACTCAACAAAGGACCACACTTTTCCAGAATCCTGGAACATCAAACCGAGTCTGTCCTCGTTGGCCTTCCAAGAGTCCCTAAGAGACTGCTCTAATTCTCGAATCTCCAAGAAAAATATTTTCACGAGGTCCAAAAACCTGGCTGTTGAATGGAAGGATGTGCGGCGGTCAGGTTCAGGGGATATTTTTAGACGTCGCCAGATCACATCAAGTACACGAGAGTCAAATTCCACTATTCCTTCTACATCCTCAGTCGTCATTCGATAGATGTCGAGGATATTGGGTGAGGCTTCGGCTGAAGAATCTGAAGAATCCGCCTCCCAAGGAAGATACATTGTTTGAGGTTGTCGAAATGAGACCACACACGTGGTGAGTAATGAATACGCCTCTTTTTCGGGTAGATATCGTAAAAGAACAGGATGATCCATTCCCTGCAACAGGAAAACAGAAACACTGTCTTGTTGGGTTACGGTCGCCGGTAAGTTTGCGTAGCCGAAAAACTCAAGTGATCTGTGACGGTTCGTCACAATGTTCCCCTGATGGTCTCTTGGAAAGATGCTCCGACGATAACTTCTTTCCCGCATTATTGAGAATAACTGCCATCGTCCATCGCAGGAACATAACCTGATCGCAGAGCATTGTAAAGCTCTTGACTTGGGGTCGACAAGGATCTCTATGTTGCTCGGTACCATGCCATGAAATGAAAACGCTATCATCCCCTCCATTCCAGGATCAGTGTTGTCGATCTCGTGACTGGGGAACTGAAGGGTCTGCTTCTGAGTCCAGTCGGGAACCCACGATGGTATGTCGAGATTTGACTGGCTTGATCCTGCAAAATTCAAAATTCTCATATCTCCGAGATAGGTGGCAAGATATGCAGCAATGCCCGTGTAAACATCTTCAACGGATAGTGAATAGTCAGGTCTGATAGCTTCATCCACAAGGCCCAGCACGCCGAATACTTTGTCCCGCGGATCCGAGCAGTCATACTGTGAGGCAGCAAGAAGGATATCTAGAAATTCGTTATCCGAGCTTTCATTTCCAATTATACGGTGTACAATCGAGCTGTTGGTTGAATTAGGCGCGACCGTGATCTTTGTTCCTTTGGACCAAGGGGTAGCAGAATCTCCCGAAATAAGCACTAAGTGTCGGCCGACCAGAAGTTCTTGGAAGATCCAAACACGGGAGAATATGGGTAGGTCAGAAAAGCATCCCCAGGCACGTTGTGATTCCGCAGAGTGAATCTCAACGACACCACCCGCGTTCGCTTCTTTCAAATTTCCCAAAACCAACCCAGTTTCGGGTGAAGAATCACCTATAAATGTAAGAATATCTTTCGCATTCGCATAAATCTCCCGTGAGAGACCAGCTTGATGATTCCTTTCGAGAACATCATCCAGATCAATACATAGTTCATCAACCCAGAGAAGCTGTGTCGAATCAAGACTTCTGATGTGTCGAAGGGCAGATTCGCAGTTCCTGTGAACATAAATAATGTCCCAGAACAAACCTATGAAGACGGGTTTCCATAGAGATGACCCCCCAGCGGTGGTATAAGAAACAGCATCATACGTTTGAACAGGCTGTTCACGGAGATGTGTTTTCTCCCACATGACATGGACCGGCCCATCCGAATCCTCACGTGGCATCAGTCTTATGAGTCGAATTTCATCGTCAAAAAGGGTCTCCGGTCTCGCGACTTCTTCATTTTGGGTCACAGTCGACCCCACACGAGAGATCTTCCGAGGGGGCTGCGTGACTTCAACAGCTGAAGAAAACTCGCCTAAATAGCGCGCCTTTGCAGGCCATTTTAACGGCTGGTTCTCTGTTCTCGGTGGTGGGGAGCGGTTCTTCTGTTGAGTCGCGTCTGTCGTTTCATCAAGGGATGATAGTGCGGAGCAACTTTTGCAGTGCAGAGTGGAATTAGAGTCAACCAGCACGATCTCAGGACTCTGACAGCCGTCATTGTGCCAGCGTCTCATCTTTTGTTTCTTTTTCACGCCGACTGTCCTTGTGTGTTTGAGTCAAGGATTCTAGGGTCTTGAATGCTGAGGATAATTGTCCAAATATTCCAAGGTTTATGAGGTGAGCTAGGAGTTTCTGGATTCTAGGCCCCAATCCAAGGTGGCGTTGCGGGGCTGGGACTCCGCCTTGTTTGCAAGATATCGCAATGGCAATTGGACGCTTGGTGCATTCCAACTCGCTGAAGCCTGAAGATCTTCATGAGTCAACCCAGCCTTACCAATGTGATCTTTGATTATTGTAGCGCTGCTCGAGGTACATCAGCTACTAGTATGTCGCCCTCTTAGACAAACACCCTTTTCGCTCTTTTTTCTCCTGATTTGAACATAACCGATGAAATGGAAGAGCATAGCTGGAGCTTGCTCAGCATCCACCGATCAATGAATTTTGATGACTGGGTATCTATGTTGTATAATAAATCACGATCTCTAAAACCCCGAAAACTTTTGATCTCGTTTGCATGCAGGAATATTTCCTGCACAAACTCAGGCTGTCAACTACCCATCTCTTTCGGCCTCAACCTCGACCCTTTTGGGCCAGGCACCGCTAAACAATCCAATAGGCACGGCCGTTACGGCACACAGTACTCCCAGCACGAGGGTCATCGCAGCCCAACCTGCACGCACCCGCATTGCACCCGCCAAGATCGGACCAAGGAGCTGACCCCCCGCAAAAGCCATATTAAATAGCGCATATGTCTGGGCGACCGGGCTTTTCTCTCCAAACGCTCCAGGATTCTCGATCTCATAGTCCCCAACCACCTGAGAGGCTTCTGTCATGGCGGTCACTTCTACCGTGACGACCGCGAGGCCTAGAATGAACAGGAGGGCTGTTAGCAAAATGATGTCGGCGGTTGTGTTCTTGTTCACCAAACGCATCAAAATCCAGGCGCAGGCCGAGGCTGAAAAAGCTAGAGCTGCTGGGATTCGGACTCCAATGCGATCGATAAATCTTCCGATAAGTACGCCTGCGAAACTGGGAATGGACGAAGCGACGAAGATCAGCCCTGCACCGCCAGAGGACCAACCGAATGTCTCCATGACGTATAGCGGGATGGTCTGTATAGTATAATCAGTCACCAGGTCATACTTTCAATCAAGGCAGTGAGCAAGCGGGGAGGGTAAACGAACGGTTTCCAGGGCTGCAGTTATAACAGCCATCACAATGGTGGCCATACATGCAAGGGGCAGTCGGGGAGACTTGAGAAGACTGAATATCGTCGCGTGTTTTTGTTTGCCCAACCTTGGGGGTCTAGCGCAAGGAGTCGAGGATCTCAATAAGGATGTTTGCTCATCGCAATGTTGCTCGATCCCGGTACAAGTATTCCTTGCTTGGGGAGACTGAGACTCTGGGCGAATTATTGTGTTGTACGCATCAGCCTGAGAGTCAATAGCCTGCGAATTGAAAGTGGGCCCCGAATTTTGAGCAGTTCCTATACATCCATGCAATTAGTATGATCACACACACAGCGTTTCGTCTCTCTCAAAGTTGGGATGACGCCACTCACTCGGCACCTCGATAATAGCAAATCGCAAGATCACATCCAGAGCAATAAGAGCCACAGGAATCATAAACGTCCCATAAAAGCCCAGCCTCTCATACATGATGCCACCAATCGTAGGGCCAAGCAGGAATCCCCACGTCATGCCGATTGTTGTTTGTCCCATGGCCTCCCCGACCCGCTCCGGGGGTACATTGTCCACAACTATCGCAAGTCCAACGACCCAAACACCGGCAGCAGAGAATCCCTGCAGGCCGCGTGCAATGATAAGAAGCACCATAGAGCGGGCAACGATGAAGAGCAGAGTCGAGGCACCCAGTGCAAGCAGACCGATGACGAAAGGCAATTTTCGATATCGAGAGTGGTCAGCGAACCAGCCGAAGAGCGCTATTGTGAAACCCTGTCAGATCGATAGGAATGGCAAATATCAAAAAGCAAATACATACGCGATCCAATAAGAAGAGTTGCGCCGTAGACAGCTAGCAGAACCGATACCCAATATTGTGCTGTTAATGACGGTTAGCGGGGCAATGTGAGCAAGAGAAAATCGGAGGTTAATCAATCAATCATACCATCTTCCTCTCGAGCTCCAACGCGTTCAACCAGTGCAACGGGAATGATAGGGACAACCTTGGCAGGTATCATGTGTTAGAATGAAGTGGAGGATCTATGATTGTGATACGACATTGATCTTACCATGCCATAGATGAAAACATCCTAAAAGAATGACGAGATCAGCGACCGCAAACAAACTCCCATCCGATCCGACATACCGTGAAAATCGCAATCGTCACCACGATGACAACAAAAGACTCGGAAGCCCGAATCTTATGAAGCCAAGGCTTTGTCGATTCCATATTGCAAAACAAATTATTATAAACAGAACAGAGCCACTGAACCACAACTGAAACCCCTCGCAAAATCGCAAAACCCAAAACGAGAAGAGGATGCGGAGGACAGGATCTCCGCTGAGGGGCGGAGAAGACGGAACTCTCAGACCTGATCCACAGGCTAAACGAGTACTAGTCTGAACTAAATTGGTTAGTTAAGTCTCGGCCAGGGTTCGTCTCGTTGCGTGAACGGATGATCGCCCCGGTCTTCAGCTTTCAGGCTCAGATCAGATCAGATCAAAGGTTCCCCCTCGCCACCCACCGCATTGTTGCACCTGATCCAGACTAGTCTGCCAACAGTGCGGCAGTGGACTCGACTCGGACTCTCCTTTTCACTCTCATTTGTATATGCAGGTGATTTTATTGGCTACCACTAATACGCCTCTGAAGTTATCTTTGCTCTACTGAGCATACGGAGTGGAGTTGGCTCTTGATAGAGGGGCTGAGGATCCTAGGCCGGGCCGCTTCGCCCCTGGTGAAGCTTTGCCCCTAATTCCCCGCCCAGGAAAGCAGTTTGATTAGCGATCGTCTTGCCAACGCTGGCCGATTGTATCTCCTGCTCTGCTACTAGTAGTCTGGGTTTAATACTCATCCAACACCAGCATGGTGAGATGTCAGTCCAGTTGTTGTATGTATGAAGATTTTATGGTTCAATGCCGAGGCAACCCGCGGCCCCGCGACAAGAACCACTGCGAATGCAGCGCTCAAGAAATAGTCTCACACATTTTGCTGGACTGTCTTTAGGCCGCTCCCTTTAAAGACCCTCCTAGGATTGATTCCATAGATTCATTCACGGGTGCATAGGCTTTCCTTCGCCAGGAGCGGAGTCTGCCGTGTCGTTCCTTAGATTGGCACAATATCCTGGTCCTGGTATCCATTGAGGACGAAACGCGATGTCCTCAGATGGCGTAGAATATTCATTGTCCTGATTTGTTTCTTGTGTTCTGACTTGATTGTAGAGCCGATTTGCAACCACATAGAGTGTCGCCTTCACTGCCTCGGGTGTCCCAACACGTCCTATTGCTTGAGCGCCGATAGTCCAGTCTGAAAACCATCCTGATGACCACAAAGATCTCTATAAGCTCTGCTACGTGTAAAATCCAGCAATTGTGTGCCGTGCTCGGTAGCGAAGACGGCGATGCGCGTGGGGAGGTATATGGGCCTCCGCTTCCAGTGCTGCGGTCGCTACTGTCCACAATGCCGACAAAATAACCTCTTTGGTTGGTAAGTGCCTACTCTTTCCTTTGCTCATGTGGAAATACGTTTCCTCTTGAATGTTTCCTGGTTTTCTTGTTCGCGCAGCCTCTTTTGGCAAGGAGAGGAGGGTTCACAGAAGGCGACCAGTACAGCCGTAAGTCGAGAGGGGAAGGTGTTGTATGGTTAGAAGGGAATTTTCGTCCGCCGTATTACGGGCCACGTTATGGGGTACATGGCAGTTTTCAGTCCTCGTAGCCCATTTAAAAGCCCGCGAGGAATCTGGGCTTCATAAATGTAGATATACTTCGAATCAAGTACGTTCGTGATGATTAGGCGTGACTAAAAATAGTTATTAAGATGGGATAGAAAGTCAGTGAGGACGAATTGTAAATGTGACCACCTTAGGTGATGTCGATACCAACATCTGCTCCTGAAGCTGCGCAAGCGCTAATAGATGGCACAGAAAGTATGGGTCCACGGTCCATCTTGTCGGGGTTGCATTTATGGCTCTCCCTGTTCCATGCTTCTTCAAGTATAGCAAGCGATCTTGATTGATCTTTGAGTACTGGACATAACCCACTAACGGAGGCGAAGAGCTGGAAATAGGGGTTTCACGACGACGAAAGACTAGGTAATCCGGGCGGTGGGCGGGGCGAGATTGGAAATGGAAGGGAGGTCCTTTTCTATTCAGGATTTGTTAGCTGCTTCACGATCAGCCCTTCTGGGGGGTCTTACCGAGTGGTGATGAAGCCGCGTTCTCCGCCTGTTAAAATCTTGAAAAGTCACTCGCACTTCTTATCCGGTGACAAATTGGTGGCAATATACTGAGCATCTTCTGATCCTTGAGAACAAACATCTCCGTCTCTATTGTTATTTTCTTGAGAGCTTTGCAGGTGAACATGGGCAGTGCTGATGACTCCGAATTGACACCCTATCAGCTTAAAATGACGCGAGGTCCACTGTAACGGATTTCTTAACTGTCGGAGGTGGTCACACACAAAATCATGGAGGGATATTGGAGTTTATTTCAGCTCATTGCGAGGCTCTGCCCAAAGCCTGACAAAGAAGGGGTTTGACGTCAATTCATTGTGGAGTGGCAAAACTCTGACCTTCTAGGGGAGTGCATGGCGACAGGCAACATAGGAAGATGGGGAAGTATCTACTATTTTCAAGAGTCGCGAACAACTGAATGGACCTGGTCGAGAAGGTCACCGCAGCCCCCGAGTCATGTAAATGCAATCATGTGATGTGAATTGCATTGCATATGACCATCAAGTTAATGATGTTATCATGGAAATGAGCAGCCTAAGAATTTACAATATTGGAATAATGCCAGTGCATGCAGTAGATAAAAGGCGAGAAGCAAGGATAGAATAAGTATTTCATAATGTAGTTACTCATTATCAACAAAGTCGAAACAGAACCCCAGAATATGCAAAAGGTATGTACAAAAAAAAAAGGAAAAAGGAAATGAAAAAAACTTGAAAAAACCCCCTAATATGTGAATGTGAAAATGTGAAATATGCCGTGCGCCATGCTGTTCAGATCAGAGTCTTCAGAAAGGACTGAAAATTCAATAATCATACAAAATGCGGGAGGAGATGAGTGAGGTCTTTTCCCACCTTCTCTCTCCCTGGGTATTAAGGTTTTGTGCAGTTTTTTCTGGTGTATATTCATGGTTGTGTGTTTTCCAGTGTGTCGGAGAGGGGAAGGTTGGTTATGGTTTGTTGGTTGCTCATGGCCCCTTATATCCGTCAGCCCAGCCTGATTTGGATGGCGCCTTCGGCCGGGATGGGTCATATTCGTAGCGGCGCCAGTTGTCAGCGACCCACCACTGAGCGGCATGGGATGCATCATGGGTCCACTTCACGGCGTCAGAACCGTGCTGTTCCTCAATGGCCTTGAACAGGCCGTCCAGGTCGAATGACTTGATGGGGCTCTGCTCCTGGGGGTCCGTGGAAGGGTCGCTGAAGCGCCACTCAACCTCGTTAACCAGAGGAACGACGAGGCGGTATGGGCGGTTAGCGGAGCGCATGGCGACCAGGGAGCCACCGGTGTTCATTACGGTGAATTGATAGTAGGCGGTGTTGTTATTCTCGGCAATGATGGGACGAATCATAGACTGGCCCTCGTACATGGGCAGCAAGTCGCCAACAGCGCGGGCGCTCACATGATCAAGAGATCCGGAGGTCTTAAGAAGATCAAGAATGGTGGGCAGGATTTGAACGGAGCTCACGGAGGAGTTGATCGAGATAGGCGGAATGTTCGGGTTGGCAAAAATGAGGGGCACATGGAAGTTCGATACTAAGGGGTTATCATATGGTGTCACATTGCCGTCCTCTGGGAGGCTCAAGCCGTGATCACCAGTCATGACAATGAGGGTCTCGTTGGCGACGCCGGTCTCCTCTAGAAGATCCAAAAAGTCACCGTACCACTTATCGTTGACGCCGACGGTGTTCAAGTAGCGGTTCATCTGGTCGTTCTTTCCACCGAAAGAGTTGGATTCGGTACCGAAAAGATCATCGTACTTTCCATCGGGGGTATCCCAGGGGTGGTGAGTGATACCAGTCAGGTGAGTGAGGAAAAGACGCTCGTGATTCGTCTCGGCCCTTTCGATGGCTTCGCGGAAGTAGCCCTTAAGGGATCCATCGGGGTAGCCCCAGAAGTTGAACTTGGTGTAGTTGAAATTCTTGCCATTCGCGATATCCTCATCGATAGACTCGACTGTGACGACGTTTTCCGGCTTGAAGCCGAGTGCGGGGGACAGCAGGTTCTGGTGATCGTAGGTATCGGTAATCGACTGCATGAAAGTCGGACGCCAGGGCCACATCTTGTAGTCACTGCTCTTGGTGTCGTTGGTTTTGGCACTCAAAACGTCAAGCACTTGTGGCAAACACGGGTTATATATATGGTGCTCATACTCTTTGTTAAAATCGATAACGAGAGGAGAAAGACCGCATGTGGTCGCCTCGATACTCTTGAGGGTGAAAGTACCGCCAGTGTAAGAGTTGTCGGCGCGAAGACCACCATAAGGTTTGATAGCACCCTTCTTGTGAAATCCAGATTCGGCACCAGTCAAGCGTTCAGCGACCGAGGTCAGGTTGGCCAGACGGCGCTGGACGTCCTTGGGAATGCGATTCTTCTTGTGGGACTTGACGAGACGCTCGTGCATATAAGAGCCTTTGCGGAGGGGGAAGACGTCGTAGCGGGTGCTCTCCATCTTGAAGACGAAAATATGCTTGATGTTCACCTTGCCGCTGTGGAGAGCCTCCCGGAGAGGCTCCAGAATGTCCTCGCCCAGGTTCGAAATGGTCAGAGGGTCCTCAGTGGCGTTGTAGTGGGAGTACTTGTTGCCGTCGAATCCGCCCTTCTCCCAGTCGCGGAATCCAGGCCAGTCGCCCTCGGGAAACCAATCCCAACGAGGGGGTGCGGTCAGAGCCGTCAGCTTGCCGTGCAGATAAGGGTCGTCTGAGATCATCTGAAGCTTGCCCTTGGAATCGACACCGGCAAAGGGGGAAATGATGACTGTTTGGGACATGAACCAGAGCGCTTGCTCGGAGGGACGGGCGAGACGGAGAATGAAGATGATTGCAGTTGGGACAATGATCAGCGCACGCTTGGCGATTGGTCTCCAGTCCTGTTTCAAATCGTCGAAGCCGCTGTTCATCCTGTTCATCCAGCGCTGCTTGAGGCCGAGGCCGAGGCCGAAGTCCTCCTCATTGGATCGCGACTGGGTAGGCTGATCGAGCAAAGGAGCCGAGTTCATCTTGTCCTCGTCGTCTTCATAGTCACCCAGAGGAACTGGCTCATAGATCTTCAAATCCTCAAACAGCTTGCGTCCTCTGCTCCATCGGCGGAAGACCATCTCCATCAGAGACCTAAACGCGGGCTTGATGACGGGGATGAGGGGCTTGGTAATCAAGGCAAAGAATGCGCTCCAGGTGTGCATCACCCCACCCACGGCATTATAGAGGTGCGGGGTCGCAAGTGCAGCCACCACGATATAGAGAGCCTCGACGATGACGAGACCGGTGAGACCGGTGAGCAAAGTGTTGATGGAGGCGGGGTCGCGGTTGAACCCACCGGCCTGGCGCCAGTGGATTTCGGCTCCGGTAGTGAAGTAGAAGGAAGTATTGGCAGCGGCCATGACTGAGAGGACGAGACTAGATAGAAATTAAGCTCAGATTAGAAACGAGGTTCGCTTCCCAATCGGGCGGACGCGCACGCGACCTTGGATATGGGGTGTTCAAAGAACGAGAAAAGAGAAAACTTACCTAGCCACGATCATGGAAGTAGCAGCACCAATGCGAATCCATTTGTGCTGGTAGCTGCGCGACAAGACGTGCGCCAAAAACAGGAAGATGATGTCTTGTACGAAAAAAGTCGAGCCCCAGAGGAACAGAGTTCCGACGGGGATGGAATCGATATGGGCCCAGATATGCAAGAGCTTGGCGAAGAAAATGGAGACGAAGAGGAAAGAATACCAGAACTTGCGAGATAGCTCCCAGGTGAACGAGGCTTGCAGGCCACGCGCGGGTATTGTGCAACAGAAGAAACGCATCCAGCCCAGGGCCTGACCGGCGAAGCCCGGAGTGGTGCCCGTGGCATTCCACGGGGAGTTGTTGAATTGCATGGTCCTAGATGCTTCACGGCGACATGAGAAGCATGGGAGAGGAAGGAGGTGAGGTGATTAGATCATGCAAGGAAAGCAAAGATCCAAATCGAGAGGGTTCAGGAGGGAAAAGTGACCGGGGGGGGGGGAGAATGGCGCGGACGGGAGGAATAAATAATTATAGAAATAGAAATGGAAGAAGTGGAAGTGGAACATGGGGAAAGTAGTCAGCGCCCTTCACCCTCTCGCACTTCCACCACCACCACCACCACCAACCATACACAAGACTACTCCAATACTCGTTACCCTTCAAGCATCGCCACCAGGAACCCGTACGAAACCATACTCTGTATGGCCCTGGAATTGCCTGTGGACCGTGAGCCCCAGTCAGGGTTTCATCCAATGTTGCTTAGCCTCTAGGGTCATGCGGGCTTTTTCCCCATTCGAGGACCAAGTGGGCCAGTGCTAACCCTCTCAGGGTCTGATCCAAGAAGCCTTGTTCCTTTTACTGGTACATACGAGCGAGACGAGTGAGACGAGTGAGACGGGTGGAGACCAAGGCTCGCACGGAGTCTCGGGCTGCTGGCAGAATCCGCTTGCTTTGGTACACGACAACGTGGCTGTACCTGTACCGGCTGTCACGGTAGAGGTTCAATGCTGGGACTGGGACGCCTTGAAGGCTATTCTCGTTCTCTCCGCCGGTCTATACATGGTCGACATAGCCCCCTATAAGGAACTGTTCGCCCCCAAGTCAACTCAGTCAACTCAGTCGATCTCTTTCGCCGCTGCGCCGTCTCTCTGTTGGAAACAACGAGACCCATACGGAGTACTGGTAGAACCGTGCTGAGAGGAGTGGAGAGCAGAGCAGAGGAGTGGGAGATTAATGAGCGCGGTCCGGTGTTACTCGTATACGATCACCTACGCGGTTAAGGCCTGCACTATTCATATTCGAGTCCACTTGTCCCCAACGGCAGACACGAGATGAGCTACTGAAAGCAGTAGTCGCTGCGGCTCAAGAAAGGAGCAACAGGGATTTCATTTTGGCCCCCCCTATACTCCGTACTCCTTAGTGACCCCTAGTGACCCCTATTGGCCCCCTTTGGCTCCTACTGTAGTGATCCTGTCCAAAAGTGGACCTGGTGAAAAAATCGTTCCCTTCTCCGCCACCGCTTACCACTTCAGGACACGCGACTGGCCAATGTTTAGCCTGATCGTTGTGTATTTTTACTAGCTTCGGACAAGTCCTGACAAGTCCTGACTGGTTCTTACACCTCCCGTACAACGTGTGTGCCCCAGCTTTTTGGGGTTCACAAAGGCTGTGCTGAGGCGGAACATAGCCGACATACATTATGTACGATCCTTCCTACTCCGTACTCTGTTTATCGTTTCCTGATTCTTTCGTTTCAGGGCGGAATCTTCTTGAATGCCAAGGAGGGCCCCCACTGGTAAAGGTGATGCCTCGGGGAGGGACATCTGCCTAGATGGTTGTGGTTGTGTAAGAGTACAGTATGTATTGAAACTCGCCTGGCTCCACCCCAGACAGAAAGGCTTGACTGTCGAATTCCAATAGAATCGGCTACATTTCCGGTGGAGTCCGTCCAGGGGCCAATCTTGGCGGCAGGCAGCCAGATGGGTGGTGTCCCAGAGATCTCTCAACCACGCAGGGTTCTGTGATGTGATGTCAACTGGAATCTTGTTCTCCTCGCCCCCGCGTGGAAGAGAAGGGGCCGTGCAGACCAACGGCAGAGAACGTTGTCTAGCTGCAGTTGGGACGTCATTACTTTTCCTTTCAGGGTCGATGTACTCGTACAGACGAAGGACGAGGGTCGAGGGACGGCACCAGAAAGTCAGTCCCTCATCTAGCCAAGAGCTATTCCCGATTCTCAGACCCAAAGATGAGCGATCCGGCCGAGCACCGAATTAGCCACGCTTGTCGATCGGGTGGGCTTCCAGAATCCACCGGCGAACTTCTTCCCCGACACTATCTCTCGATTATCTAAATTTTGTCTCTGAATTGTCTCGGACCATACGGACTACCGCAAACTATTTTAACCTTCCAATTCAATGGGAAATCACCATCTTATTCTCCTAATTTGAGGGCGAACGATGGTGGCACCTTCATCCGGTGTACGGATACACATACAATTACCCCTTTTCCTATATATACCCGCATGGAGATACGCTAGTTAGTCCGGGTCAAAAAGCAAAACGTAAAACGTAAAACGAACTAGTAGCGAGCCTTATGTACACAATTTCATCTCCCTCCGTCCCCGTCAGCCTTATAGCGTGGTGTTTGTGTGTGCCTGTGCCCTACCGGGCCGGCTAGTTTGGTCCCATCCGATTAGTACGCCTTGGCCACCTATAATTAGGTCTTCCGTGATCAGTCTTGCACCATCGCCTCCCAATTTCTGAGAAATAGTCGCAATAAGTGAGCCATTGCAGCTTAACTCTGTACGGTACGGAGTAATCTCGAGTCTGCATACGTAGTATAGCTTGATTTACAGAATACGAAGTGCAGACGCCGCGTACGAGTATGTACATGGGTATGTTTGTTTGTACATACACATTCGGGCTGGCCCAACACGGAATCAATCACCTGGTCACTGTCTCACTGCATGAAGCCTATTTCCCCATCATACCCTCTCCTTTGTACAGCTGAGATGAGCTACGCCACTTCTCCGTCGGCGAGCTTATTGCAGTTAGAGGGTATGTTTCTTATTGGCTCTGGGTGTGTACCTGGTGGTCTTCAGGGTTCCGGGGTCCCGGATTCAGGGTCCAACTGCAATGCATGGCGCAATTTGGTCGAGAATTTGGTCATGTCAATTTACCTTGTATCCCATGTACGGGTGTACATGCATATATCGCGAGTAGACTTATCAATCACATCACATATAGAACAGATATTCCAGATATTCTTTTCAGGTTTGCGTCGTACTTCATGCACTTGACATCTCATTGGCATGAATGTGAAATGAACAGATCGTATTGCCGGTTACCCATACTAGTCAAAGTAATGAATGGGCTTTTATTTCTGGGAAATTCGTATTTTTCCTACCGCTCTCCCTTGTCGTGGTCTTTGATCTTCTCCGTTGAACCCTCTTTCAAACAGTGCACGAATTAGAGAATCGGATGCCTCGAAATCATCTAATTTGATCATTTCATACCTGTCATGGCCCAGCCTTCAGTTCAACCGTTGGTAATTTTCAAAAATCAAATATAAGGCCAGACAGCCAATCGGCACGGTATGCCGATTTTCGCGCTGCATAGGTCACCTGTGATTCATCACATTGAGAAAAAGAGGCCTAGGGTCAAACGTCCTTTCAATTTCTAGGAAGACTTCAAGATTTCCATCTTCCCCAGTGTCTCCCACTGGCCCTTTTGAGATTCATAGCCATGATATATACAAGATTTCTCCCGGGCGCATCCTTTCCGCCACATGCCGTATAGTCCGTCAATATCCTAAGCTACCCACACCACGACTAAAGAGCGAGATATTTATTCACATTCACCTTGGTTTATGGAACAAAGTAATTCCGTAGTAAAAGAGATCTTGAGTTCAGCCCAGCATTATCGCAAGCAGCCGTAAGCACTGATGGGACTCGCAGGATTGGTGGAATGGGATTCTCACAACGGAAGCAGCTGGCAACAAAGCCGGAACAATTCCCCGACCATGGGCAGTATTTAATTATTTCTTTAGTATGCGAGTTTAGACTTATGTAGTCGTAGGTAGATTTCTCTCCCCCCTCCGATCGAATCAATTTAGCTGGGGTGTCTAACACGGATACCGTGGGTCAGCCTCTGTGACGAACCTCAACTCGACAGTCTACTAGTATTATACTGTAGCACTGGATAAACCAAGTTTGCCTGTTGGCTCTCTTCTAATTTCGGACGGATCTTTTGCAAATACTAAGAGATAACAAAAGTGATGACAATTTGTCCGCCGTCCACGGGCCTTCCTGAGGTCTAAGGTTAGTACTAGATAGTAACTAGTAGTTAGTACTAGTAGCTACATTTCGCAACGTGCTGTAGTTCGTGCCTACTAGTTAAATCCCATGATGGCTTCAAGGTTCAAGTTTCTAAAATCATTTTTCTCCAGACTCCGAGTCACTATCCAAGAATTATGGCACACTAGCTAGGTACCAAGGTAAATTCTAGGACTAAAAAACTTCTAACCTCGGGATACTACTAGTAGCATGGGACTTCAAGCTCTGCTCGCTTGGCCATGTTTCCACCCCTGCACTTACAAAGGCGTTCTGCATGACTGTGGGCCGGGGTTAATATATATCGCCACCAGACTGCCCAGGTGCGAGCCAAAAAGTCTTCAAGTTCGTTCTCGTTCTCGCGCCCTGGTTACAATGTTGAATGGTAGCATCGATGATAAGTTGCAACGACCAAATCAACAACCCCGTGGCAAGCGAGCAAAACCTTCAAGTTTCTACAATGTGACTGTAGCGCTGCCAGTGCTTAAGCTCCAAGAAAGCCTCTGATCACCCGCAACCACCTCCACATTCCTCACCCTCACAAAGCTGGCCCGCCGGGGAAGACCCCTGATCGCCGGTGGTGAGAACTGATTAAATGGTCCAAGTCCCCACCCTTAGAGTGAGTCCTCGAGGGCTCGCAATCGCTCATTCGTCCTCCCCCGCTCTCCCCTCACCGGGGGAAACACCGGGGAAACCGGCAAACTCCCCCATAAGGTTACAGTGTTGCCCCTGCTAGCCGATAAGAGCTGCAGCACGATAAAGGAGAGATACCATATATGGCATGGCATGCTCTAAAGCTTAGGGCGACTTAAAAAGTCCTGCGACCGGTGCACGCGTCGGTTTCGAATCCTCCTTCTAATGTCCTTGTGCCCGCCCTCCTCGACTTGACCATTTCACTTCCCCTGAAATTTCGTCCTTGGCTTTCACCAAGCAAGAGCGACATGGGCGTCCCAGAGATTAATGCCGCCGCACCAGAGGCCAAGACCTCCGATGGTCGCACTGCGGTGATCAAGGTGCAAAATGAAGACGAATTGCGTCTGGCTCAGATGGGTGGGTGTTTACAGAACTTCTTTCTCTCCCATACTGCCACGTTATGATCGAGTCGACTCCGTCCTAACAAATCAACAGGCCATAAACAGGAATTGAAGCGCCATTTCTCGGTCTGGAGCTTGATCGGCTTGGCTGCAAACTGCACAATTTCTTGGACAGGTACAATATTATCGAAACTCGACACTTTTTATATGTTAGTCACAGCGACTGATGAAACTAGGTCTTGGATTGGGATTGATCACAGCGATCAACGCCGGCGGGCCTGGTGCACGTAAGTCCCTTTTTTCTCTTCTTTTCCTTTTATTTTGGCCCCCATGCTTCAGGCGCAGGAGAAACTGACAGGATCCTAGTTATCTACGGATTTATCCTCGTTTTTATTCTGCAGTCGTTTGTCGGGGCCTCGCTCGCCGAATTCGTCTCGGCATACCCGACCGAGGGAGGAATGTACCACTGGATCGCGGCCATCGCCCCAAAGCGCTATAATAGTGTGTTGAGCTTTGCAACGGGATGGTGCACGGTTTTTGGCTGTGAGGATATTGCCTGGATTCTTCAAAAAAATACTTGCGCGTGTGAATATTGATCAAATTACTTCCTAGGGATCTTTACGACCGCGTCAACGAATTTGATCTATGCTACGACTGTTATGGCATTGATTGCGCTGTACCACGAGGATTTGGTCATTCAACCCTGGATGACCTTTGTTGCGTACCAGATTCTGAATATATTTACGTCTGGAATTGTCATGTTCGGAAACAAATTCATTCCGATGATCAACAAATTTTCTTGTGAGCTGCACAAAGGGACGGGCATGTGTGTCTATGTGTGTTGGTGGCTGATTTCCCCAAGTGGTTTACCTACAGCTCGCATGGTTTATCACGATGGTCACGGTAGCTGCCGCGGCTCCGAACCATAATGATAGCAAGTTCGTCTTTAGAACATGGATTAATAAAACCGGCTGGGAAAATAATGCCATGTGCTTCATTACTGGACTGGTCAATCCCTTATACTCCTTGGGAGGACTGGACGGAATATCGGTATGTTACCAAAATTTCATGATTGTCAGAAAGGAATTATCTCTAACGAGTAGTAGCATATCACTGAGGAAATGCCCAATGTATGTCAAGGCCAATGGCTATCTGACAGAATAACTTTGACTGACTCCCATCAAGCCTGGAAGAAACGCTCCTCTCGGACTCGGTGAGTTACAATCGAAATTCAAAGAATAGTTAAGAAGCTAATTCTCCTCAGCAATTACACTCTCAATCGCATTCGTGACCGGTGTCTCGTACTTGCTCAGCCTGATGTTCTCCGTCCAAAACTACAACTCCCTGGCCGATACGCCAACCGGCCTCCCCTTGGCTGAAATCTTCTGGCAAGCAACGTCAACCAAGGGCGGTGCCTTTGGCCTCATTTTCATGATATGGATCGCTCTCGGCCCCTGCGTGATTGGATCTCAACTGAGTGAGTTGATATCAGGCCTCAATATGATTGAAAGTGTACTAATTTGTTAGGCACTGGGCGCGTTTTCTGGGCCTTTGCTCGGGACGAGGGTCTCCCTTTATCGAGAGTGTAAGCACATCTGTTTTAAAAAGCGCCTTGTACATTAAGCTAACGCTATTATTATGTAGTTGGGCGCGCGTCCATCCCCGTCTGGGCTCCCCGCTGAATGCCCAGCTCTGCGTGGGCGTCATTATCGCTCTTCTGGGCTGCATTTACTTGGGATCCACGACAGCATTTAACTCGATGATGAGTTCCGCAGTGTAAGTCTATTCGGATCCAAGATGAAAAGGTTCTACTACTAACAGCTTTAGAACCGTCAACAATCTCGCCTACCTGGTTCCGATTTTAACAAATGTTCTCCTGCGCCGCAAAACGATGCATGCAGGCCCATTCCACATGAGCCATGCCGTCGGCATGAGTGTAAACATCATTTCCGTGTTGTGGCTTGTCTTTGCGATCGTATTCTTCTCTTTCCCCTTCGAGATGCCGGCGACAGTCTCAAATATGAACTACACCTGCGTTGTCGTTGGTGGATTCCTCATCTTGGAACTGTGCTGGTGGTTGATTGCGGGCAAGAAATACTCCCAAACTGTCCAGCGCGCCCGCGAGGAGGAACACAATGCTGCCATGATTGTCGAGGCGTCAAGCACGGATTCTGGGCCGTGATCGCGGGGGGAAGGTAACGTGTAAATTGGCATTATCATGATTCATATCCATAGTGGACATATATGCGGATTAGATATTCGATGTGTCTGGCGCGGAACACTGCAAATAAACCGTATCAATCCTAGTAGTTTGTTAGTCACTGGCACTCTGGTATAGCCTGGTACCTATGGCCAGATAAAACTATAGCATAGTTTTGATGGGAGTAGGGAAATATGTACCAGTGGCCCCGTTTAAATCCAACCCTGGAGAGTCGGCCACGCTCCTCAAATCCACGTTTGATGTACCACCTGCGCAGCGCTTCACCTTGATCCTTGCCTTCCGGATCCACCGCCATAACGGCAATTATATTCTCCACTGTGATCGTCGGAGGCAGGGTGTGCGACGTAGAGGAATCATTGCCAAGACCCCCGGACTCAGAAACGCCTTCATCAGCGATAGCGACATGGCGAATCTTTCTTTCCCGCAAAAGCGCCACCATCTCCGCAAGTAGTCTTGATCCAATTCCTTGGGAATGGTTGGCTGGATGCAAAAATAAACTCAACTCCACGCTCGGTGCATATGCAGCCAGATGGCCGCGGAAAGGCGAGAGATAGGCATATGCCAGTACAACTTGTCGAATGTCGGCTCGGGTATCTGAGAGGGGGTAATCATTGGCCGAGTGCTCGCCCACGGCAACGAGGTACGGGAGTTTACGTGCGGCCAGTTCGGTAAACTTGGCATGGTATGTCTCGTGTGGAGGCGGAGTCTCCGCGAATGTGAGTGCCGTGTGGAGAATGTAGTGGGCGTTGATGGCGCGAATCTGGGGCAGATCGGAATCTTGGACCGGGCGGATTTGTATGGGGGACATTTTGAGTTGGTGATATGATGGTGTACGAGTATGGTGGTGCTACGACTTTTTGTTTATCCCGAGAGACGATGTGGGCGGTAAAGTGAAGTGATGGCGGAATTTACTGGAGAAATCCGGTGACTCAACTTTAATTTTACTGGCAAATCTGATACGTCGCTTTGGGACAGGGTGTTGTTCATGGGATACTACGAGTATGAAGAAAGCTTGAATCTCAAGCCCAAATTCAATTTACTGTTAATTTTATGTACTCAGTGCCCTGGAAACCAATAGAGGAGTAACAGGACAGATCAGCAATGGATAAGGGAGCAAAAGTGGAACTAAAAGTGCGACTGGCGGAGAAGTAAATGACGGAGAACGAATACCCAGCGGATAAAGGCCGGAGAAAGAACGGAGAAGTAGCGGAAAGAGTTGTGGAGCAATCCGGAGCGTCGTTTGGGGCTGAACGCAAGCCAGGATGGCAATCGAATATCGGGTAATGTGCTCGAGCTTGAATGGAGAAGTGGACTGCACCCCGGATCTCCCCTCCAACCAAATTGCGGGGCGAATCCCTCGTGGACATGGGGATTTCTTGGCTCTTGACAACTCGCCCAAACATCGCCGTCGCCAAGAGGCCTAGGGGGGGTTTGGTGAGAGAGGAGAAACCCCAGACGATGCGTCAAATGGCCCTTTCTGGAGGCTTGGCTAAGTGCTCAAGCTCTATCGTCCTCCGCACGCCGAGACTTGGGGTTTCTGATACGTGCTATAAAGCGCTCTCCTTGTCCCGCTGTAGTTTTCGATGCTGGAACGACTTCAAGTTTCGACGCCCTGCATAATATTCGTGTACCGGGTCAAATCTTTCAATCATGCCTCCTTCACAGTCGGAACGTGCCTCTTTTGATTATGTGGCGGATGAGAAACAGCTCTCCCCAGACCACGTCGAGGACTACAGCAACGTGACAGTAATCGATGGTATTCAAGTGCTTGGACTGTCCCCTGATGATGCCGACTTCTACCATAACTTCACACCCGAACAAAGAAAAACTGTTTTGCACAAGGTAATACCCATCCTCCTCCCTCAATACGGCCGATTTATTAACACCTACCAGGTTGACATTCGCTTGGTGCCCATGCTAGCTGTACTCTACTTGATTTCACATCTCGACAGAGCGAATATCGGCAATGCGAAAATTGCAGGGCTGACAAAAGACCTGGGGTTGACTGGAATCCAGTATAACATTGCCCTTAGTCTCTTCTTCATTCCATATGTCTTGCTAGGTAAAAATCAACGTGATCTGATTTTTGGTTCTATCGTTAATCAATTAACAGAGGTCCCAAGTAATATGCTTTTGAAGAACTTCAAACGGCCTTCAGTTTACCTTGGAATTCTCATCATCTGTTGGGGAATCATTATGACTCTGACTGGAATGGTCCAGAATTTTGCTGGTTTGCTTGTGGTGCGCATTCTGCTAGGTGTTTTTGAGTAAGTTTGCAGATCAATTGTATGGCAATTAGCGCTGACTTCTGATGATAGAGCTGGATTCTTCCCCGGTGCAGTGTATCTGTGCTCTTTCTGGTATATGCCAAAGCACCTAGCAACTCGCCTGGCTGTCTTCTACTGTGCTAGTGCCCTTTCAGGCGCATTCTCTGGATTACTGGCAGCCGGTATTGCAAAGATGAGCGGAGTCGGTGGACTAGAAGGCTGGCGATGGATTTTTATCCTTGAGGGAATCGTCACTGTTGTCCTGGGTGTCCTTTGTTTCTTTTTCCTTATCGACTCGCCAAAGTTGTCCGGAAAGTGGTTGAACCAGGATGAGATTCGCTTCTTGGAGTTGCAGCACTTTATCAAAGATGGTGGGCAATTCCAAGAGGAGCGGAAGTCGACTTCATGGAAAGATATCAAGGCCGTTTTGGGTAACTGGAGAATGTATCCGCTGGCGTACATTTTGCTTGCTCAGTCAGCTTGTTCCTACGGTATGTTTCTTCTCCCATCGAAGGCAACGAATATTCAAGTTGCTAATCCCCACAAAAAGGAACCAAATTTACCCTCCCCACCATTACAAAGGGCATGGGCTTCCAAGACACAGCCGCGCAGCTGATGACCGTCCCTCCCTACGTGGCGGGCGCTATTTCGGCGATCTTTTTCTCCGTCTTGTCCGACCGATTCTACTGGCGTGCGCCATTTGTGGTGATCCCACTGCTAATTATCGTGGTTGGATATTCTATTATCATGGGGCTAAATGGCAACCTGAAAGCCAATATTGGCCCGGGATTCTTCGCCATTATTCTGACCACCATGGGTATTTACCCTACCCACCCGGCCACGACCTCATGGACCATGAACAACCTGGCCCCTTCCAATCGCCGCGCCATTGGTAGCGCTTTCAATATATGTGTCGGAAATATTGGAGGAATCATTGGCAGCTATATGTACATTGACAAAGAAGACCCAACCTACCCCACCGGCTTTGGCTTGTCATTGGCGTTTGGTGGGTCGGCCTTTGTGGCAGCTGTGATCCTCGAGCTCTCCTTTATGTGGGCCAACAAGAAGAAAGCTGCGATGAGCGAAGTCGACATTCGCTCGAAATATACCGATGAACAACTGCTGGATATGGGAGATAAATCGCCTCTGTTCAAGTATACTCTTTAAAACCTGCACCCAAGGATGAATGAACAATCACTTGGAACGAACAATGTTCCTAATAACTTGAATTTCTTCCAAAGCGATCTGAAATTTGAATTAGTGTTAGCAGTAATAAGACCTAGATTACGGAATGTTTCTGTGATTCTTACTTTGAGGGGCAAATGCTGATCTGTGGGACCCTTTACGCCGTGCGGTCAGAATCCGCTGACATTTTCCGCGCCCACGGGGATATCCGACCGGAATCTGGGGTGACGCGGTTCGAGTCCACAACCGGGATCTCGCTACTCCGAGTCGCAGGCTTGGGTATTAGCTGGAGACGAAAGAGAGGGGTCTAGGGACATTGAGAGGAAGTGGTTTAGATATAACTTGGCAGCAGTATTCTGAGTCCAATTCGATCCTTCACATTGTGTGCTTTTTGTTTCTTTGGAAAATCCCCACACATCTGCAAGCAACCATGGAGGTGGAAAAAACCAACGATAACGAGACCACTCATTTGGAGATTTCCCCAAAGGCTACTCTCCAAGAACCTACATTTGAAGGTCTGACTCAAGAGGAGTGTAGGAAACTTGAAAAGCGACGTGAGTAGTAGCCGGCCAGTCACCAACTCCGTGGCAACTAATGCCTACGGCTACTGACCACATGAAATAGTTGTGTGGAAAGTTGACCTGCACCTCATTTCATCGCTATGCCTGCTTTTTATATTCAATATTCTTGATCGCTCAAACATCGCCAATGCGCGGCTTGGCGGCATGGAAAATGATCTTGGCCTCAGCGACCCCCAATACCAAACCGCCGTGGCTATTATGGTGAGCTTGGCCCCCCTTGGCGTTTGCGCTTGGCAATTGACACCTTTTTGTATAGTTCGTGGGATACCTTCTTGGCCAGATCCCTAGCAATATCATCCTCACTCGCGTGAAACCGTCTCGGTATATTCCCGCCGCTATCTTCATATGGGGTGGAATCTCGATGGCCGCTGCGGGTACGAAGAATTTTGCTCATATCATGGTGGTTCGGGTTCTACTGGGATTTGCCGAGTCTCCCTTTTTCTCAGGTGCACTGTAAGACAAAAGTGGCCCCCATCTGCCTATATCTAAGTGCTGACGGAATCACTAGTCTGTTGGTCAGCTCCTGGTATAAGCCTCAGGAGATTGCCCCTCGCGTGGCAGTGCTTTACTGTGGTAACACAATCGCCAACGGATTTGGCGGTCTTATTGCTGCGGGTGTCTTGGATGGAATGGACGGAGCCGGTGGATTAGCAGGATGGAGGTCAGTGCTGCCCCTTTGTTCTACCCGTATTGAGAGTATGCTGCTGACAGGAAATTACACAGGTGGCTATTTATCATCGAGGGTGCCGGTACCATGGTTGCCGGAATTTTTGCAGTCCTGTTGCTTCCTGATTTCCCTGAGTCTGGTCAACGCAAGTGGCTCTCGGAACAAGAACAGCGCTTTGCACAGTGGCGATTAGCTCAAGCTGCGAACGATGAAGTCGATGAGAATGGATCAATTAAGCAAGCTCTTGTTGATGCCTTCACCGATCCAAAAGCCTGGATTCTAGTCGCAATCCAGGTCTGTCAACTCACATCGCAGACATGGACATACTTCTTCCCAGTGAGTGCAATTAGTACACTTTTTTCATACACGAAGCGGCCTCTAATCAACGCCTCAAAAACAGTCTATTGTCAAGACACTTGGATTCAGTACCACGGTAACCCTTCTCATTACCGTCCCCGTATATGTTTTCGGATTCTTTACCTCCCTCGGAAACTCCTTCATCGCTCAGTACACAGACCAGCGTGCCATTTTGATCATGTGGCCTCTGCTCGTCGACATCATCGGCAACGTCCTTGTTGTTAGCACAACTTCGACAGCACCACGCTATGTGGGCATGTTCCTGATGTGTGCAGGCTCATACTCGGCGTTCAACGTTGTCCAAGCCTGGATTGCCAGTACTATTCCCCGAACCAGAACAAAACGTGCTATTGTCTACGCTTTGGTCAACTTGTTCGGCAATTCGTCTAACATTTACGGATCCTACTTTTTTCCTGCCTCCGACGCCCCCCAGTATCGCATGGGAGGGATTATTCTGTCCTCGTTTGCCGCTGGCGGTATCATATTGGCGGCTGCACTGGGTCTCTGGCTGCGAGATATCAACAAGAAGACCTTACAGGACGAGGACGAGGATGGTCAGATCAGATACAAGTATCTCTGGTAAATGGACCTTGCCTTGAAGAAAGCTAGACATGGGTTTAGACAACCTTGAAATGGACGACCCACATGGGAAGACATCATATTACTACAAAATGAATATGGAACGCCTTTTGGATGTGTTGAAATGATCTGGTTTGTACCCCCACGTCCTCAGCCAGGCTGCTTTGGGCTTAAATACTGGCCAGATTCCATAGCGTGGGGACGTATTGGAGCAGCTCCAAGAACTCTCTCTCTCATATAGACTTAAAACACCAAAATTCAATGCATTTGAGAGCTTTCATTTGAGACAATGAACACTATTATCATCCAGTGCCTATCTTTTCATAAGCCTCAGCCACGCCAGTACTAAGTAGACTTGAAACTTGTTTCCTTTGCCAGATATTCACCATTCAAGATATTGTTCCAGTCAATCGACCCCTTCCTGAATTAACATCACTTCGGGGAAATCCCGGGGCTCACGGGACCACCGTGGGGGTGCCCCAGAAGTTAACAAAGACCCCCACACTTGGCGATAGCACCCAGCCTTGCCAACCCCGCATTCTTCCAGCAGATGCTGGCCAGCAGTCAAATGTATTGGTGAATACAGGACCAGCCTTCTCAAAAAGGAAAGCCTACTTCTGAAGGATTTGATCTAGTATCTCCAAATTCTCACTTCCCCGCTTTTTGCCCGCGGGGGTAACTAGCTTCTTGGACATGCTGGCCCTGTGTGTGTGTGTGTGTGGCTTTAGGAGAGTTTCATGCCCTTATAATTCAGATTCTTGTCATCATGCCCTTATTATTCAGGTTCTTGTCAGAAATCCCGAAAGATAAATCCCGGACTCTTCTCCTTTTCTTTTCATACACAAGAGGGCTTATTTCACCATGGCCAACAAAGACCACAAGGATGCGGAAGAGGTTGAGTATGCAGCCGATACACAGGGCAAGGTCCCTGGCACTATCTTACCACTCATAATGCCACCCTCCTTAGCCGCACTTTCAGAGAGCGAGCTAGAGAAGGTCAAGCGTCGAGCAACTCTAAAGCTGGATGCGCAAATCATGCCGTGCATGGTGTTGATGTACATCATGAATTATCTCGACCGGCAAAACATCGCTGCGGCCAAGCTTGCCGAGATTGAAAAGGATTTGAAAATGACGGACGTGCAGTATCAAACGTGTGTCAGCATTTTGTTTGTGGGATACAGTTTGTCATCGACTCACTTGAAAGCTCATAAGCCGGCTACTAATGCTTTGCGATAGTTTTAATGCAGGTCCCATCGAATATCATAGTCGGGAAAATCAAAGCACCAGGCGTATACATTTGTTTTTCAATGGGACTTTGGGGCGCTCTTTCAGCCTGCACAGCTGCAGTCCACAATGCCTCTGGTCTAATGGCTTCCCGTTTCTTTCTGGGATTTGTCGAGGCCGTGTTCTTCCCTGGCGCCCTTTTTTACATGTCGTTATTCTACACTAAGAAGCAGTACACACTTCGGACAGCCATTCTGTATTCGGGTTCGCAGCTTGGCAATGCCTTTGGTGGACTCTTTGCTGTTGCAATTTTGAAGTTGGATGGCCATCATGGTCTGGAGGGTTGGCGATGGGTAGGACTTCTCGTGGACTGGAAGACTGAAATATCAGTGCTAATTCTATTTTGATAGCTCTTCCTAGTCGAGGGTGCTGCTACCATTGGTCTGGCCATAATACTCGCATTTATTCTGCCCAACTCGCTGAAATCCCTCACTGGGTTTAATGAGATCGAGAAGGAGTATCTGTTGTGGAGTTTTGAGGAAGATCAAGGCCAGCAAGATAATGCCGATGAAGTCAGCGCCTACAAGGGTGTTATGATGGCTGTAACAGACCCAAAGACTTGGCTTCTGATGGGCACACTTTACTCTGTTCGTGGTGTCTCTTCCAGGTTAGCCCATTTACGGTTCCTGACTGACTCGTTCAGATTTACATTGTGGGGGCTGTGACCAACTTCTTCCCTTCGGTAGTAGCAACCCTCGGATATTCTCGTAACAAGACATATGGCCTTACTGCGGTGAGTCTCGCTGGTCATGATGATAAGCCCGGATACAGGTGCTAACTATGAGGGTATACAGCCACCTTATGTTCTCTGCGTCATCGCGATGATCATCAACGGATTTCACTCGGACAAGGTACGTATCAGAAGATCTGCAACTGAATTCATCTAATACGAAATAAGAAACAAGAGCGTTACTTGCACATAGTTTGCCCAATGATTGTTTGTCTCGCGGCCAACATAATTGCCGTCTCCACGCTGAACACGGCCGCTCGCTGTCAGTCACACGCTCGATCAATTTGCTTTCTGTCGAAGATTCGAGTAAACTAACTTTGATGTAGACGTTGCCATGATGCTTCTGCCAGGATCCTTCTATTCGGCAGGCGTTGTTGTTCTGTCCTGGGTAGCTGGAACCATATCGCAGCCTTCAATCAAGCGAGCGTCCGCCATTGCTATAATCAACTCTATCTGCAATACCCCTAACGGTATGAGTAAATTGATTCTTAGCCACCGAGCCCCTTGTTAATATCAAATCGACAGTCTGGGGCTCATACCTCTATTATTCCGAGCCACGCTACCTAACCGCCTTCTTGGTTAATCTTGCCGCCTCTGTTTTAACCGTCATCTTAGCCACCGGAACTCGAATTTATCTACGCCGCCAGAACAACAAACTGGATCGGGGCCAAGATACAGGGCGGAATGGTCCAACCCCTGCGCAGGTTGCTGCGGGTTTCCGCTACACGATCTAAGCCACACTCTCGGATTCACTATTTTCAGATTTTCTAAGGTTATCAAGTCATCAATTCGGATTTGTATCCTAGTTGCTTCATTTGAAGTAGTTTCAGTCCTACAGGGAGTATCAGCAGAGATCTCGAATAAGTATCCCTTTGAGCTATGATTTTTCCCGATTGGATAGGTGATGTCCAAAATCGTTGATATTACATAAAACAAGCATGAGAGGGCGCGCTATGAGTTCGAACTAGTTTAGTGCTTCAGAAGAGTTAGCTTTGAATTGTTTCAGTCAAGAATAAAAGCATTCGAACCCACATGTTGGAAGGCGATCTAATTGGGGCCAGAAATCAAGACAAAGCTCATCTGTGGAGCCCGTAAATGTGAACAAGCTCCCAACCCCCGAATCATATGCTCCAGCTCCCTGTAAGCTGTCCCAGTCCACAATAGGATGCTCGGAGGTCAATTCGAAGGGAACATTATCTCTCATATCTATAGGCTGCACTGCCAAATGGGAATCGTGGTCTGGCTGGACTCTTCCTGTTGATTGTTCTGCATCGTTGCTAGTGTCGGACATGTGCCCCGTAGCGTCCGATCTCAAAGCTTCGAGCACGATGTTATATCTCCATGCAAGAGAATTTCTCTCGGTTGCTTGGCCCAAATGATACTGAGTCTCTTCGGCAAGCTTATATAGTGAATTTTGATCGATTTCTTGCGACTCTACTTCGGCATTCGCGCAAAGCCATGCTTTGGGAATTCGGCCTCTCTTCGTGTGTATCAGGAAGATGTAGACAATTGACAGAGCATTGAAAGCGATATACTGGGTATACCAAAAAGCTGGGTAGAGCAGACGATCTTTGACCAGTTCTAGTACTAATTCGAGTGTATCCTGAGCATTGCTGATGCAAGATCGTAGGTATACTTGGGCGGAATCCCCTGAGGCCGCCTCCGCCACTTGTGAGTAATCTCGAAGTAGCAATGGACGTGTGACAAACATTAGAGCGTGGAACCGAGCCAGTCGTATTACCGTCAACTGTCTCTGAAAGATAGATATCAGACTGCTGGGACACACCCAATCACCGAGAAGGGGTGGAAGATCAGATTGCCACTGCTTAATTTTTCGCACAAGATTTTCAATTAAAATAATCTCTTGTTCCTTCTCGAGGGGTTGGATCGTGTATAGGTCTTGTGAAGCCTTCGAAAGTATCTTTGACAATTTCGCGTGACAAACTGGTGCATCCATGAGGCAATTTCTTTGCAAATGCGATCGGCTTTTGTGAGGATTTAGCTGTTCATCGTTGACGAGTGCAGGATAATCTTGATCAATGTCCTCCTCGCGAAGAAGACGTGGCCGTCCAAGAATGAGGCTGAGATATTCATCTAGCGTGAAAGAGCACCATAATACTCGTTTCGAGCACTCGAGAGCAGCCTCACCAGGCGAGGAAGAATTGAGTGTTCTCGTATATGTATTTCTTCGGTGGAGACCAAGCGCCATCAGCAGTTGCACGGTAGGTCCGAAGTTAAACCAAGCTTGATTCATTCTTGATGTACCAAGCAGGTACAGTACAGTGAGAAACCGAGCCTGGACCGACTCCAATGATGGCGATCCTTGTTCCTGGGAAAGAAGCCGATCCGCCATTTGATAGTACGTCTCACTTTGCTGCCCGCGTGGCATACTTCCCAGCGTATATTCCAGCGGCATGTCCTGTAGCGCAGAGAAGGAACATGAAATGGCGCACATCATTAATATGATCGCTTTCCCCGCAAGGGAGAGTCTGGTAGTGTGGCCTGGTGGCGTTGGCACCTCTTGCCCAAAAACTATATTTATCCATTCTTCTACTGTCCCCTGATGTAGAATGCGATAAGTCGGCGATGCAAAGTCAAAGTATCGTTGGACCAGCCAATTCACAGCGGCGTGGCTAGGCCATTGCAGTTGAGACTCGGGAATCTGGGGAGCATGCCGATCGCCGTGCGAGAATATCGAAGCATGTGAATCCTCCGACGTTGAATCCAAAGTCCGCTGAGCTCCGTGGAAGTTCCTCACGGCCCGGTCCAAGAATGAGTGGGCCGACGCCGGACCTCTGTATTGGCCCCCAACAACCGACTCTGGAACTGGGGTAGACTCCGTAGGTGCGGGGATTGACGCGGCAGATATGGGTCGCACATTTCCGCCCTGCGCCGAGGGCAGTGGGGTTGCGGCGGAACCCCGATGATAGGGAACATTGTAGGAGCATGGGAGATCCGATCGTGCACAGAATTGACATGGAATATCGCCCGTGCAGGCCTTCTTGCGTGCTTTGCAAGCATCGCATGCGCGAGTGACCTTGATTCTTTTCCGTGCCTGCGACGATCCCCGACGTGGGAGCGGTGATTTCGCCTGCGCTGCATCAGTCATCGGAAATTTCTAGCAGTATCCGACTTCAATCGAAAATTTAGTTTATTCTGTCTTTCGGATTGCTCTTGAGAACTTTCGATTTGTCTCTCAACACTTTCTGACCCGTGAAAGCAACAGCCAGCTGGTAACGAGGAAGAAAGGTCGAAGAAACATAATTCCGACGGGCTTATCCGCCAGTCACGAGACCCGGCCAGCTACAATTGCCGAGGGTAACCCAAACCCCAGATTTGGTATTTACTAGTGAGAACCTTCTCAGTTTCGGTAAAAATCATGATTTTGAGGATATTCAAGTCGTTCTTGATATGTTCTGCAAAACTGTGAAGTTAGGCTAGAGGAACATGGCATTGGGATACAAAGTAGCTAGTACTTTACCAGTGAGGAGATATACTAGTAGTAGTAGTATATTTGTAGCGTCCCCCAGTACTACTTGTACTCATATGATAGTAATTCAGGATTTAGCCCCTTAAATCCGTCCGGTCGCCCAATGAACAATTCCAAGGAGTCGGACGGCCACCCCATTTGCGGAGGAACAAAGTCAAAGCTCACTCCAGGGCTACCCCGTATATGTAGAAGATTCCCCACCCTGGAGCACCTCTTCCATCTAGTATTCAGTGTCCTAACTATAATCTAACCAAGGCCTAACATGTCAAAGAGTACCAGCGACCATTTCGAGTCACTGGAGGGTGGACATAATTATGCTCAAGATGATGCCCAGAAACCCAATCCCATCGAGTCCTCGGAGCTCATTGCAAGTTCTCCGCTAGCAAAGAAAGTTCTTCGGAAAATCGATATCATGGTCATACCGTTCATATGTATCACATATCTAGTGACCTATATTGACAAGGCCATGCTGGGATACTCGGCTGTATTTGGTTTGAAAGATTCTCTGAATCTACATGGATCACAGTACAGCTGGCTAGGTAACCTCCCTATATCCCTGTATCCGTAAAGCTACTATGTGATAAACTGACATATATGCTTAATAGGAAGCATTTTCTATTTCGGATATTTGGCGGTATGTCTATTGATCACTGCAGGCAAGAAAATTACACTAATTGAAGACAAAGTTCGAGTATCCTACCACATTTGCAATGCAGAAAGTCCCGGTCTCGAAATGGCTTTCTGTTAACCTGTTCATTTGGGGTGGTATTACGATGGCGCTTGCTGGTTGTAAAAGGTTCGACTCATTCTCGGGCTTACGTTTCCTGCTGGGTGCACTTGAGTCTTGTTCGACCCCAGCTTATCTCTTGATCACTGCGACATGGTATACTGTCGAGGAGCAACCCATCCGAATAGGCTGGTGGTCTACATTTCTTGGCGTAGCGAACTCTTTTGGCGGACTCCTAGCCTTTGGCGTTGGTCATATAAACGGCGCCTTGGAACCTTGGCAATATCAGTTTATTGTCATCGGAGCACTATCGTCGATATGGGCTATATTTATGTTCTTTACCCTAGCTGAACGCCCTGAGACCGCGTGAGCCATCGCACACTCCTGAATCTATGCTGTGTTGACTAACCGAATTCATGATAGTCCTTGGTTGAATGAAGAGGAAAAAGTTGTTGCAACTCGCCGTCTAGGACCTCGACACCACGGAGCCAACCATCATGAGATCAAGAAATACCAACTTATCGAAGCCGCCACTGATCCCAAAACCTGGTTGTTTTTTCTTTGTGGAGTGGCCACCCAAGTTGTCAACGGAGCAGCCAGTAACTTTGGAAGTTTGATAATCTCGGGATTTGGATACTCAAATCTAGTGACCACCCTTTTCCAGATTCCTTACGGCATGGTTATCTTGATCTCGAATGTATCTGCAATGTATATTCAAAGATGGCTCCCGGGCCAAATGAGATGCCTGGTGGCCGTTGCATATGTCTGTCCAGCCTTGGCAGGGGCGGTGGGAATTCATGCTATCTCAAGAGATCACAAAGTGGCGCTATTAGTCTGTTACTGGGTATGTCTATCTCTCATACTTGCAAGAGATTCGGACATTACTAACATTGTTTCAACTAGTTGACCAGCACATACACCGCTTCTTTCGCAATGATAATGTCTCTCATTACAGCGAATACTGGTGGCTCCACCAAAAGGTCTGCTGTAAACGGGGTCTTTTTTATCTCCTACTGCGTGGGCAACATCATCGGGCCATTCTCTTTCAAAGAATCCGAGGCTCCAAAGTACACTTCAGGTATAATTGCTATGTTGGTAGCATACTGTGTTGAGATCTTTCTGCTTTTAACATTTGCATTTTATGCAGCCATGTTGAATAAGAAGAAGGAAATCGCTCTTGAGCGAGATGGTATCAGCCTTCAGGATGCCTCATTCCAGAGCATGGACGCAAACTCGGCTGATCAGACGGACCAAGAAGACCCTTTCTTTCAATACTCCTACTAGTACCAAAACAAATAGATAAAACACAGTTATTTGAAATTGAAAGTTGATTTATTTTTTTGCAATATAATCATTAGTTGATTTCAAAGGATCGCCACTCCATTCGGTGGACTAGCGACACCACCAGGGACCTACCATCTATTAGTTGATAGTGTTCAAAATTGGATGGGGGGCTGGGGTCACAGCTACTTACTCGCAGTGGCATGCTGCTGAAAAAGAAAGACCACCGTCCACGTTTCCTGCACTCTTCACTCAACCGTTCTAGATCAAAAATCTCCCCAATTGGCATGCCCCAGCCAGCCAACAGCCATTCGTGCAACATGTACTCTGGATTTTGGCAAGGCCATGCTTCAAAGCTGGGTTGATCACCGGCGACAGCCGCAAATCCAGTTTCCCATAACCAGCGAGCTGACGCTCTGGATGACTCTAATCCAATCGCTGGGGGAGTTGTCATGTCCGCCAACGCGATGGCTTTCTCGGTCGACAGATTAGAAAAGGCCCGAACCCATCCGGTGCGGACAAAGAGGATGTCCCCTTTTCGGAGCTCTGTGCCTTGAGTATCTGCGATTTTCTGAAGCGCGGCAACTGAGATTGAATGCGGCGAGAAATGGTTGACAGCAATATTATGGGCCTCTGCCCAGGCCGCATAGTCTAGCAAAACTCCTCGTCCCACAATGCCTCCTTGCTCAACCCAAGCTAAATTTTCAAGATTAGACTGGAAAATATATTTTCTTGATTTGTGACTCTCACCATGAATACCATTCACTTTCGTCTGCAAGATATCTTCTAAAGTGTGGTTGTTAAACCATTTTTTGGATTTTTGGTAACCAAAATGTCTGAATCCGTCCCATTGTGTACTGATCTGAGTATTGAACACAAGGGTATCATCGTTAACTGATCGTGGTGCTTTATTTTTGATCGTGTGCTGAAATGGTGCTCTTCCAAAACAGGGCTTAGACATAAAGTCTATGGGTAAATCAGTCGGGATGCGGACGCCATCCTTGATCTCTTTCGATGCGGCATTAACGAGCTCTGGTGTGATTTGATTCAACATGCCACACTCATCATTATCTCCAAACAGACCCCATGCATTACCAGGAGGGCCATCCTTACGCAATGGAAGATCGTCGAATGAGGGAAATGAGGCCATTGTGCGGAAAGTGCGTCGTCGAGACGATCTTCTGAAACTCTAGGAATACGATCAGAAATAAAAGCAAAGAGAAATTTAGATTATCGGCCCACCAAATGATGTACTCGAGATGAAGATGCAATTGTATTCCTTGCGGGGTATTTTGCGGACCCTCTTCGCCCGGGATGAAAATCCGCGGATAATCAAAGACCCACCTTACTTTTCCGACGTAGGATGAATCCACGAGTGAATCCACTACAACCGGCAGATATTGGTGATAAATATGAGCAGATACTGGCCCAGATATTCCCTTTTGATTTTAAGTCCCAAATAATTATTTCCTCTTCTCACATTGACAATGGCGATTCAAACTCACTTCACTCTCAACACAGGTGCCAAAATCCCCGCCGTGGGTTTCGGTACATGGCAAGCGAAGCCTCTCGAGGTTGAAAACGCTGTTGAAGTTGCCTTGAAGGAAGGATACCGCCACATTGACTGCGCTGCTATCTACCGCAACGAGACAGAGGTTGGCGCAGGCATCAAGAAGTCCGGCATTCCCCGCAAGGAAATCTTCATCACGGGCAAGCTCTGGAACACCAAGCATGCTGCTAAGGATGTCGAGTCAGCGCTTGACAAGACATTGAAGGACCTTGGTGTCGACTACGTTGACCTGTACCTCATGCATTGGCCCGTGTAAGTTAGATGTTGAGTCAATTAATATAATTGGATGCCGTCTAACATTCTCACAGTGCTTTCAAGGGAGGTGACAAGTGGTTTCCCTTGAACGAGGACGGCGTGTTTGAGCTGGAAGTCAACGACTATGTTGCTACCTACAAGGCAATGGAAAAGCTTTTGGCGACTGGGAAGGTCAAGGCCATTGGTGTCTCCAACTTTAACATCCGCCGACTGGAGGAACTGCTCGGCCAAGTGTCGGTTGTTCCTGCAGCCAACCAAATCGAAGCACACCCATACCTCCAGCAGGCCGATTTGTTAAAGTTCTGCCAAAACAAGGGAATTCTCGTGGAGGCTTACTCTCCTCTCGGAAACAACCAAACTGGTGAGCCTCGAACTGTCGACGATCCTCTCGTCGCAGAGGTCGCCAAGGAGACCTCCATGGACCCCGGTCCTTTGCTCGCCAGTTGGGGTGTCCAGCGTGGAACTATTGTCCTCTCCAAGAGTGTGACACCTTCTCGCATTGCAGCCAATCTTCAAGTCCGCACTTTGTCTGATAATGCGTATGGCAAGCTGAATGGCCTTGAGCGCCACAAGCGGTTTAACTTCCCAGCCATCTGGGGTGTTGATATCTTTGAGGAGGCTGGTGAAGAGGCAGTTCGCAAGATTGCGGTGGCGGCTGGTCCTGCCAACAAAGAGAAATTTACTGTGTAAAAAATAAAGTATTCAATAGATATAGAATGTTCATGATTTCTTTTACGATAGTTCCACCAGATGTTCCAAGAAGGTTACACATGTAAAACAAAAGAAGTGCACGGATTAGAACGTCAAGTCTACTAGAGACTCGGAAGAAACATGGAAATCACTTTCCAGAACGTTTATTTCTATGTCCTCTTTAACTTGGTGCTTTTTACCCCTCTGTGAGTGACAACCCCTCCGCGAGTGACTACCCCGCCAATACTGCCCCTCTCTGATAGAGTGGACTTGATATTCCTTCAATCCGAAGAGTGCCGGAAAATGGAGGAGCTGGGAAGAATCCGATGGGTTGGTCATATTTCCGCACCAACATCCTCCGCTGCGTCGGAAAACCAACATCCCGGATCTTCTCCGCAAAATCCCCCATGCGCTGTCATTGGATTTTTACTCGCAATGGGCCCCTCTGCATTTGCGGGGAAAGGTCAAGTGAGCCATAAAGTCATGCGACATTTTTATCCCAGCGGCGGAAAAGGCCTTGGTTAACACACAGGTCGGAGTAGCCGTGAACTCGCCCCAGCTTCCAGCAGGGGGACCCTAGATGAGGATAGCAAATCATTTCCCCTCTGGTTGCATTCACTACTATTCATACGCCGACTCGGAAAACCGGATTAGCAGACACCATTCCATCGTTTCAAGGCTGATCTAAAAAGGCACTCGACTCCCAATACTTCACAAGATCAATCTTGTTCATATCGCTGCCCAGCCTTGACCTCAAAAATGGCAGCTTCAGCTCTTGCTTCGGCAGTGGCATCCGCACTGCCCATAACAAACACACATTCTTCAACGTCGCCATCTATTATGACTGGCTGCTTCAAGCAAGAGATTTTTACAATCGATGATCTTGTCCGCGCACGAGCTACAGGGGAGACAGCCCATGAGCCAATCGTGGCGTATCCCTCTTCAGGAACCGACTATGTCTATTATACCCCACACCAGGTTCGTGATATATGCCCTCCATCCACTATAACAAAGATGACTAACGAAAAAAGGTGAATACACTCGTCGAATCAGCGGCTGTTTACTATTCAAAGACAATTCCGCAAAGACTTTCCTCCAATGACCCAGTGCAAGTTGTTGGGCTACTTGGACCCTCTGACTTCGAGTACCTCATCACTCTACAGGCTGTCTCACGACTAGGCCACACAGTACTCCTCCTTTCAACCCGCATCGCGGAAGATGCATACGTCAGCTTGGTCGAAGCTACAAAGGCCGGATACCTTATTACCTACCCAAGCTTCCAGTCAATGGGAGAGAATGTTTGCAGGCGCACTAGTGCCACTCAGGTCCCAGTCGTATCGCCTGCGGATTCGAACTCTGAAGATGTCTCGTCCGCAGCCCTACCGGCGTCGCATCGTCATGGTCCGACAGAAAACAAGAACATCACCTGGGTCATTCACTCCAGCGGTTCAACTGGCCACCCCAAGCCAATCTATCAAACCCACTCGGGTGCTCTGAAGAATTATGCCAACAACTTCGGCTTGAAGGGATTCATCACTCTGCCTCTTTTCCATGCCCACGGAATCAGCTGTCTTTTCCGAGCGATGCACTCCCAGAAATTGATTTACATGTATAACGCCAGTCTGCCACTCACCGCGACCGCCCTGCTCTCAACTCTCAATGACCATCCTGAAATTGAGATTCTTTATGCGGTCCCCTACGCCTTGAAATTGCTTTCCGAATCCGAAGATGGTCTGAAGCGGCTGGCCCGTCTGGAACTTGTCATGTTCGGCGGATCGTCTTGTCCTAAGCCAATTGGTGACACTCTGGTTCAGAATGGCGTGCGTCTTGTTTCTCACTACGGAACAACCGAGACAGGACAGTTAATGACCTCCTTCCGTGATCGTTCGGACTTAGACTGGGACTATGTTCGTCCTGGACCCTCCCTGCTTCCATATCTCCGATGGGAGGCGCAACCTGGTATGCCTGGTATCTACGAACTCTGCGTCACCGAGGGCTGGCCCTCCAAGGTTGCGAGTAACCGACCAGACAACTCATATGCCACAAAAGATCTGTTCGAGAGGCATTTTACCACTCCAAATGCGTGGCGGTACTATGCTCGTCTTGACGACACGCTAGTTCTTGAGAATGGCGAGAAGGCCAATCCCCTAGTTATTGAAGGTGTCGCACGCAAGAACCACAATGTCGCAGAAGCTATTGCGTTCGGAAGTACCAAGCCCCGAATCGGTCTCTTCATCATTCCCTCCGACAAGTGCCCATTCGAGACTGATGATGAATTGCTCGATGCGGTTTTCCCGGATATCGAGAAATGCAACGCCGAGTCCCCCGCCTACGCATATGTATCCCGGGATATGGTCTTTGTGCTGCCTAAGAACAGTGAATACCGGAGGACAGACAAGGGCACTGTGATTCGATCTGCCTTTTACAAGGATTATGCTCAGAAAATCAGCGATATATACGACTTCTCCGATGGCACCGGTGACCAGGTTCTTGAGGGTGAAGAGCTCACTCAGTTTCTCCGCCAGTCTTTGCTCGAAATCGCCCCATCTGTTGATCCATCTTCTCTTGAACTCACGGCCGATTTGTTCAGCTTGGGAATTGATAGCTTACAGTCTATCCGCTTGCGATCTGCCATCACACAGACCCTGGATCTTCGTGGTCAGCGATTGTCTCAAAACTTTGTTTTCGAAAATCCGACCTTGAAGGCAATGGCTGATGAGATCACTCGCCTGCGCTCGGGCGATGAACCCAAGGAGCAGGTTCCTGTTGAAGAAAGAATGCAGAGTTTGATTGATAAGTATAGCAATGACTTCAAGATTCATGTTCCCGTTGAACGAGAGGTTAATGGTCAGCATATTGTGTTGACGGGTGCCACCGGCTCCTTGGGAGCTCATATCGTGGCTCAATTGGTGCAGTCTGATGATGTTCACAAAGTTTACTGTCTTGTCCGTGCAAAGTCAACCGGTGTTGCCCGTCGACGTGTTGCTCAGAGCCTATATGCACGCAAGGTCTCCTTGGGGTTGACCCCTGCTGCCGAGCGAAAGATTGTGGCTCTTCCTGCAGACCTCTCTAACTCAGATAATCTTGGTCTGGACGACGAAGTATTTGGCAAAATTAAAAAGACAGTCACTTCGGTGATCCACTGCGCTTGGTCTGTTAACTTCAACTGGGCGCTGGAAAGCTTTGAACAGAGCTGCATTGCTCCTACTCGTAATCTGCTTGACCTTTGTCTCAGTGCCGAAGCTCCTCAGCCAGCTTCCTTTTCCTTCTGCTCTTCGGTCAGCACAGTCGCACGTACACCAGGAAATTGGGTACGTGAGAAATTGCCCGAGTCACTGAGCCACGCTCAGGGTATGGGATATGCCCAGTCCAAGCTAGTCACCGAGAACATTGTCAACCGTGCCGCTCGCAAAACCGGCATGACCGCGCGAGTTCTTCGTGCTGGCCAAATTGTGGCAGACAAAACCTTCGGAATCTGGAACGCGACCGAAGCTATCCCCATGATCTTGCAGACTGCAAGGACTATTAAGGCGCTGCCTCAGCTGGATGATATCCTGTCCTGGACTCCAGTTGACGTCATGGCAGCCAGTATCATTGATCTTAGCCTGTCATCCGTTGCAGGAGAGGTCCTCAACGTCACAAACCCAACACTCAACCATTGGTCCAAGGACCTTCTTCCTCTACTACGTGAGGCGGGTCTTGAATTCGAAGAGCTCCCCAAGCAAGCATGGCTCCAGAAATTGCGCGAATCAAACCAGGATCCGGAAGTCAACCCGCCCGTCAAGCTTCTCGAGTTCTTCGCCTCGAAATATGACAACACCAATCCTACCCGCACACTCCTGTACGACACAAAGAAGGCCCAAGCTGCTTCTCGGTCCCTGGCCACGGTCGGCGGATTAGACAATGAGTTCGCATCTCAATTCATCAAATACTTCGATACACAATGCTGGACAAAGGTCCCAACCCCAGCACCCGCCCGTGAGGTTATTTTCCTCATCGGTCCCTGTGGATGTGGAAAGACAACCGCCGCCGAAGCTCTCGCATCGCAACTCGATATTCCTACAATTGAAGGCGACTCGCTTCATTCCCCACTAGCACGCCAGAAAATGGCCAGAAATATCCCTCTGACCGACTCTGATCGGTGGGACTGGCTCGCGCATATCCGTGGAGCTGTTATGGACCGTCTACTGAGCTCCGATACCAAAGCAGTGACTGTGACCTGCTCTGCCTTGCGCACTGTGTACCGTGATGAGCTGCGGAGACTCAATCAACTCTTTGATTTCCCGGTTACTGTATCGTTCTTGTTACTTACTATAAAAGACAAGGCGCTGTTAACAGAGCGCATGAATAAGCGTTCGGCGACTGAACAGCATTATATGAAGTCGTCCATGGTGGCCTCGCAGCTTGATCTTCTTGAACTTCCTGTTGATGAGGACGATGTGGTTACGTTGGATTCAAGTCGGCCAAGAGATGAGGTCCTGCATGATGTAGTGGAGACTGTGCAAGATATCCTGAACTTGAAGTCATGAATTAGCTTGTTCCATTATAGACTGATAGTAGAAAATATTATTTCTGCGACATTTCCACTAGCGCTCGGTATTTATGATCACTCAGTTACGTTTCTTTTGGTCTCCCAATGTACATCGTCGCGAAAATAAAGCCCCTCCGCACGAATTCATTTCTCCCTATTTCAAGCGTATTTGCCTTGCCGTATGTCAAAACTCGGGCGATGGTATAAAGATTTTTATGGAAGCGAGAGTCTGTGGAAGTCGAAGGTGGACACTCGCGTGAGGAAGCCACCCGCAGGAATCCGGATGCTGCAACGCGACCAAGCATTCCGCACGTGGGAAAATACAGATGAAGCATGGGCATAACAAAGAATTTTATTGGTTCATAGCGCTTGAACCAATCCTGCATAGTGGAGATGAGATAGCAATATCGATTCATAATTGGTAGGTTGAGGTGGCTCCACTCTTCGCCAGGTACAAATTTAATGCTAA